TAAAGATGATTTTATAACCACATGCTGAATACTATCATTTAGTAAAATAAAGAAAAGTTTTGTTTTTTTTAAAAAAAAAAAGAAAGGATCGACCGAGATTCGATCCCAGGACCTCTCCCATGAGAAGCGAGAGACATACCACTAGACCACGGAATCGCTTTACATGGGGTTAAGTATATGCAGAACTGAAGTTACATACATGTATATATTCATGTTCGGTATTCTCGAAATTTTACACGATCCATGGTGTTTGATAAAGTCCGCCGGGAACCTGTTTTATACGCAATAACTCTCCTCATGCCCCTGTGCTAAAAATAGCGACATGTAATACTATAAATACTAATAAAACAAACGAGGCGGGGCACTTTGAGAGGGGTGAGAGAGGTTCTAGGGAGTTTTGGTGTAAGATTATATTGCATAAGCGCAAAATCTTCTTGAAATATCGCCCGGAAATGATAGTGTTACACACAGACAGAATGTATAAATATACGACCTTGAACTTTGACCTTTTGACCTCAAAATCAATAGGGGTCTTCATTAGGCCACAGGGAGTTGTAATGTAAAATTTCATTGCGATAGCTCAAATGGTTCTAGAGATATCGTGTGGAAACGAAAGTGTTATAACAGACAGACTTTGCTTATTTATGACCTTGACCTTTGACCTTTTGACCTCAAAATCAATAGGGGTCATCTTTAGTCCATAGGGAGTTGCTATGCTAAATTTCATTGCAAAAGCTGAAAGGGTTCTCTAGATATCGTGTGGAAACGAAAGCGTTACAGACAGACAGAAAGACGGACGGACGGACAAACCCAAATTAATATCCCCCACTTTTCAAGCGGGGGACAAAAAATGTATGAAGTACTTGTTAACGTTGTAAATAAAATAATTATTATTTCACTTGCATATTTTGTGCATTTTTATACATGAAAAGCAAGTACAGCAAAAAAATTTATATATATGTTCCGGTAGATATTATTGCGCCGTGTGATTAGGTCACGTATTGACCTCTGACCTCAGACAAACTTCATACAGAATTGAAGATATTTGTTCTCCGTATGTTTATATAATAGAGAGATACCACAAATGTATATATTATACAATGAAAGACTTGAAGTTTTTATGCGCCCGGATCAATAGATCCGGGACGTATATTGTTTTGTCCTGTCTGTCTGTCTGTTTGTCTGCAAACTTTAACCTTCGCTTTTGAACCATAAAAGAGAGAGACTTTAATTTGGTATGCACACTCCACTAATAAAATTCTTTCAAATGACACCAAGGTCAATGACTTTGTGATTTTGACTGTGACCTATATGCTAAAAATAGTTTTTTTATGCAAACTTTAACCTTCGCCGTAACTTTTGAACCCTGAAAGTCAGAGACTTCATAATTGGTATGCATACTCTACTAATCAAGCTCTTTCAAATGACACCAAGATCAATGACCTTTTGATCTTGACTGTGACCTATATGCTAAAAATACCTTTTTTGAACCTTCATCATAACTTCTGAACAATGAGAGATAGAGACTTCGTATTTGGTATGCATACTCCACTAATCAAGTTCTTTCAAATGATTCCAAGGTCAATGACCTTGTGATCTTGACTGTGACCTATATGCTAAAAATAGCTTTTCTTCGAACTTTATTGCCGCCGGGCGCATAGTGTTTCACAAACACATCTTGTTTTCAAATGTTATCTAAATTAATAATTAGGGATTAAAGTTTTAAAATATATCAAATAAATATGATTTTCCAAACAAACTGAAATAAAACTTCCAATCTAAGTACAGATATGAGCCAAAAATCCGTAGAACGTGTTTTTACTCACTTAGTAAACGGTCAAAACTTTTTGTTTTTACATCATTTTGTATCTCTATATGAATTCTTTACCATAGGTGAAAATAAGAAAAATTTAAACATAGGGCGCATATTGAATAACTTAAATATCCTGAAAATGTAAGAAAAATAAAGAAAATTCGGATTAGGCAAAATCCATTTTGTTAAACTATTTGTGTCAATTTGGTCATATCATCTTATAGATTCTATATAGTAATATCTTTTTATGCAAAAAGAAAAACATTTAATCTTTTGATATAGAAGACATTATCACATGATTGGGTGCAATCATTTTTATTCTTAATGTCCAGGGAAAAGGTAATGACCTTGACCTGACTTTGACTCTAACGTAAAACGGTCAAAACTAATCTCACTGATACCATCAATTAGTAATATTGTCTTCTTGATTCCGTGAAAATTTCATTAATTTTTGAATACAAGAAATACAGTTTTGTGTGAGAAGAATCATACCTTTAGCTTTTATGAAGCTCAAATCTCAAAATACACGATTTCACTTTTACTGGAATCGATTTGTATGGGCGCATTTAAAGTACAACATCATTTAATACAAGAATTTGTTTGAGGAAACCATATTTCTGCTGAGCTTAAGATGAATAATTTTTAAAACATTCCTCTAATGGTAGACCTTTTTTTTAAAAAAAAAAATGAGTTACCTTCCTCCAAATTAACAACTCCGTTTGATATATTTGAAATACCATACAAATCTTAAAGAAACTCTTGATAAAAAATGAAATCTAACCTTTAGGGAAAGTAGGTTCCGTTATTGGGCTCGATATAGTCTCTAAGGAATGAAGCCGGATTTTCTGTTTTCGCATTAAATATTAAGATGGGCCATAAACTACTTTATTATCAAATTATTTCTTTCTTTTTCAGTGGGTGAAAAAGTTCTTACAGCCCCTCATCAGTCATCTTGGGGCGTACGTAAAAGAAAAGTTCTTAGGAAAACACACACAGGAAAACACACAAAGAATTGTATTTGGTTATTTTATTGAAATCTGTCAAATTCATCAGTTATGATAAATTTGCTTTAATTGACAATAAAATATGATTAAAATGTATTATTATTATTTTACATTAAATTGTTTTAAGAAATTGTCATATATTAACAAGGGCAGAGACCCCTTGAATATAATTCGGTCTCCAGTAATCGTCATGTATCGATATTACAAAAAATATTTCTTATAAATATGAAAGTAGAAACATGATGTTAATTATTTCTCATGAGTTGCCATGAATTGAAAACATAACTGTTTCAAATTATCCTCCAATATTGTCAGCATCATATTAACTTAATATTAACAATGCAATGGCATTATGAGTTGCGTAGCTATGTCCTTAATACCCATATCATAATTTGATGAATCAAAACACTTTTTCAGGTATATCTGTTTATCTCGATTTGGTGGCAACAAGATTAAACTTCGATGATTAAAAAAAAATCAGTAACAAAAAGTAGATGGGATGCCAAATCACTTCGACAATGCCCATTAGTCGAAATACCAGTTTTCAAGATAATGAAGTTCAACTGTGTTCAAGTGTGTATTTTTAAAACTATTTTAAGTTATTCATTTTATTAGAAAAGCATGTTGAAAGACATTAAAAGATGTTACATAATAATTTTATCAATTGTTCGTACATACACATAAACAAACTTGATGGCATACAAAGATGTTTTGTTCATTTCTTCGTCTTTCTTTTCCCTCCGGCTATATATTTTAATGTATATATCATAATTAACACTTTACTTCTAAAACAAGCAACGTTAACCTTTCAACCTTTGCAACCTCGTAACATTCTAAAATCCATTTGGGGAATCCTAAATCATCTACATATAAATATTTGCACTGTCACATAGGCGTTCCAACTAATATTTTAGTCGCCTTCAACATATCTACATATTCCTATCATTTATTTTCTTCAGTTTCCTTATCCACTGTTATCAGGTCAAATTCATCATATCTAAAACTCAACATATGTTTTGGTTATTTCGACAAAAACAATTCACCTCAACAAACGGACTTATTTTATCGACACTCAACTCTTTATTGTTCATCATAGCAATGTATCTTCAAATAGGTCTATGTGTAGTTTTCGTCTAGCTATGCAGGAATACCATGTTTAAAAAAAATTATTTTAAAAAGTACTTTGTGAGCTTATGACTAATACCTTCTATTGCCTTTGCCTCATTTAACTCTGCCTTGTCATTATCCATATCTACATACATTACATGTCGACACGAATTAATGTTAAGTATTCAAATTCTTATCATAACTATCAATACTAATTTTGACCAAAATCGATGTGCAGACATCAGTAGATGAAATATTTATCTCGAAAGGATCAAATATCCGCGAAAAGTCCAGAAAGAACCACTTATTCTTGATTTTGTGACCTAATAATAATTGAAATGTTTTTTTTCCAAATAACCTCTCCCTCCCAGAAAAAGACGACTTTCAAAGAAAATTAAAGAAACTTGACAAATTACTTTTTTCATTTGACCACGTTTTCAAAAACATATTCGCCTGATAACACTTACTGTCTTTCTAAGAACCAGACAACATGATAATATTTTACAGAACGACAAAAATCTGTTGTGATCATTGTGCTTTGGTTAAACAGGTCTACTCTCCAGAATGAACTGATATAAGTTCCGAGGTTTCTGAAGAAGAACTGATCAATCTCTCAGAGCGCTTTGTATTGTCATTAGATGATGAATGTCCAACTAAAAACGAAGGTAGGAGAGTATGAACTCCACCTGTCAGGTGATGCTTTTCCTTTTTCTTTCCTACTTGGTAGGCTGCTACAAAAGTATTTAAAATAAAGAAGAATGGGGAAAACGTTAATGTGTGTAAAATATTATTAAGACTCGGATACCTGTTGTTTTCTATAATACCTATTTGTGCATCTATATCACTTTCTGGAACCCCAGCACTTAATGCCAGTTCTCTCAAAGACTGTACACAGTCCTGGAATTAAAACGATATATAATTAATTTAAGATTTGTAGATGTCATAGAATATAATTAAAGTACTAATTTTAAACACAGAATTAATTAAAATTCATATTTAAATGTTACACACACAACGGTATTAAGTTTTATAATTTAATTATTAGTACATGTTCATCAGCTTACCTGCAGCGTTTCGATGTCAGTTTTACAGGTCTTTAATTCTTGTGTCACATTTTTCTTCTGTTTGTAAAGCAATTTCATTCTAAAATGGGCGTGGTCTGTCACAGCAACTATAAGACCTTAAAGAGATAAAAAAAAATTGTGTTTGATTTTCAAAAATAAAAATATCTAATACTAAAGCAAAAGTATAAGGGCTAAAACGATTAAAATTACACAAAATATTAGAATGTATAGTATCTTTCATTGCCTGTGATTGAGAGTATTTCTTTTTATTACCTGTTTTTGCGACTTTATAAAAATCTATGTAAAAATGAATTAAAAAATCATATCCAATCACAAAACAAGAGAAATAGATATTTTCTTACTGTTTACAACTCGAATAATTCTCCATGGAACAAGAATAATCAAAATGACAAGAAATTTCTGGACTTTGAAAGAATGGACTCCTTTGATGAAAACAAGATCCAGGATGAAGGAAAAGATTACTACGAAAGCATCAAACACCTAAATGAAAATGGTTAGAATTAATAAAAAATTCAATGCTTTAAATTCCAAAAACAGATATGTAAGAGAAAGAACCGAGTATTCTCTCTCAGAATCAATATTTTGATACGTCTTTCAACCAATATCTTTATTGTCCTATTATATATTGGACAGAGAAAAGGTTAAACCCGAGAAAACGGTGACAGTTTTTTCATTTGTTGAAAAGGTTTATGAGTGGATTTGTTTCATTGGTAGCATTTTTTTTAAAGAGAGGACAGTCCATGGAAACTTAATTTTAAAAAATAAGCAATAAATCCTTGGTGTTATATTGTGGACAGTACCAGTTATGAAAGAATTGTATCAAATTTGTAAACTTTCAGTTTTTTTAACTGATTTTAGAAAATGAAATAAAAAAAAAACCATACCTCTATCTTCTTCTCAAAGAATTCTCTTCCACTGCAGAGAAATTTAAAAATGTTCTGAAACAGAAATTTTTGACATGGAATTTTTACATTGAATCGCAAAAGTGACTCAAGCACCTCTCTCCTATTTTAAAGGGTAAAAAGTAAAAATTGCTTTAGTTCTGGGATTCCAAATCATGGATTAAAACAATCAAAAGCTTACCTCAATAACCAGTATGGCAAGAATAGATAAGCTGAAGTAATGGAACAAATGGGCTAGCTTAACCTCTAGTGCGTATTGCAAAATGACACTATTTTCAAGTCCTATTAATGGTATAGTATCATTTGGCGAAGATAATTCATTTACAACACTTCGTTTGACAACACCATGATTTGAAGTTGGAAAAACATCACTGTTATTGGACGTTGGTAAAAATTCACTGTATACTGTATCCGAAGAATGGAGAGCTGAAATCACATGTTGATTGTCGGTCGTCGAAGTGAAGTCAACATTGCCTGATAAAATTCGATTATATAACCCATCGATATCAGAGACTGCGATATTCATTAATTGCTGAGGGTATAAATGCTTCATTCCACCCATAAACAAACTGGCGCTTAGCTCTTCCTTATCCATGACTCCTGAAAAAGTATTCATTCAAAATATACTAGTATGTAACTGTATCGTTATCTCCATTTATTTCAGCTCAAACCTTTAACATCACATACACATTTTTTTCAACAATTTCTCAGGTTTGTCTAAATGAGGCTTCATAAAAATTGTTCATTTTTTTCATAGATTTTGGTCAAGAATCTATAAAGACAGGAATATATCAAAATGTTATAGAGGGTTGAAAAAGGCATTCAACTTCACAAAATAATTTTGCAAGTGACATCTGAATGAAAAAGTCTTCAAATAATAGGAATGCAAGCAATTCAAGTAATTTACCTTTAAGGTAATATATGTCCAGAAAAAGCTCTGCTAGAACCAGAATGCAATCTAACACATTCAGTACGACAATAAACAGTAAAATGTTTTTGGAGTGCATCAAGTGATGGCCATTGAACCTCAAACTGTAAAAATATAGTTATTAGAATTCTATGTGTCATTTATATGTTAAATAAAATTCTTGTATGGAAGACGTTTATACTTTCAGCATACAACCTTGAACCAAAACAAAAATGTTCATTCAATTTTCTTGACACTGCTTTAAGGAAATTTTTAAAATAGTTTCTGAAAACTCAGAATAAAAACAGGTTATATACAAACCGTCCTATTTTGGAGTCTGGAGGTTTTCTGTTTTCCTTTTCTATCTCATTCTCAAGGAATTTTTCTGTCTTCAGAAGTTCAACGTGGGCCCGGGCAAAGGACAAGGATCCTGCTGCCAGAGCCCGCAGACCCTGACCATTTCCTTTTCTTACAGAATTCCTTGATGGTAAAACCATGTTTCTACTATTTCTCCAACATCTAAAAGCGAGGATAAAATGGGTTGAATTCTGAATCCCTTTTGTTGCAGAGAATCTGGAATGTTGATTACGGCTACACTTGCATAGCTTTAGTTAAAAAAAAAACATCAGTAATAGCGAGTATGGGTATCAAAATGTTTGAGAAATGGAATCCTAAAGTTTCCTACTTGTGTTTTAGAGTTGTTTGTTTTCTCGGTTTTAATTGTCTCCTAAATCAGTTTTGTTTTATTTATGAACTCTGGGATATCTTAATGGGCTTTCGCTCAAAGGAAAATCCCTTATGAAAATTCTCTTCACTGCATAATTATGCATATATTTAATGCTATGAAATCAAGGTGTCATAAAGTTTCCTGACCTTTTCAAAGTTCATGAACTTTTTGTTCGTTACTTTAACAAGAACTCTTTTAAATTCAATGAAACTTTGCAAATTTTATTCCAAACACCTTACATCTTTTCGATCATGTTGGGATTTATATGGTGGCGCAATGCTATTCCAACATGAACCGATTCCTATTTGCATTACTTTCCAAGGAAGTTCGGATTCTGCAGCTAGATACACGTTTGCAATACAGCATTTACAAAGATGCTTTATCAGGTTGGTAGTAGAGTGTTTCCCTAGCATTGAATAGCTGTTAGTTTGAATGTTTTGAGTGATAACATTGGGATAATGTTGGCCAAGTTATTTTACTGTGAAGTAAATGATGGTGTTCTTGTAAGCTGCTGACTTTTACATTGGGCAAACGCTGATTCCATGTTTGTAAAGCCTTCAAACTTGATGGAGTTCCTGTAAGTTGGGTTCCCAGTGTTGGTTCAATAATAGTATTTAAAGTTGTTTTTTATTGAAGAGACAACACTTGATAAGAGACAAGATAATAAAGTCGACATTTTCTGTACATGTTTCTTATTCATAGACCAATACAAATTGTAAATATCCAACCAACCGTTTAACTACATGTATATCAATAAACGATCAATCTTAATAACTGACTGCAATCTTGTCTCCTTCTTGGTTGATGGATATTTATGATATCTACACTGGCTTAACAATATCCTATCAACTGAGAGCCATCTTTGAGCCAACCTAACCAACAAGTTTGCCAGTAATGGTTTTTTAGTTGGCTAAAAATCATTCCTACAATGACTCAGTAATAATCATCATTTTGACCAACTTTGGCGATGAGCAAAATGATTGTTGGACAAGGTAGGATTACAATACCCGGTAATACAAACAGTGAAATAAAATTCGACAACCGTAGGGCAAACGTAATTTTTCTATTTAGAACCAAAAACAATTTTATTGTCATTATAAAGAAATAAACTACAACTCGCAAAAGTCCCATTTATCTTCAGTTTTGGTTTTAAATATTTTCAATTACATAATACATGTATACTGTTTTGTATCGGTGCAGATAATTTAAATATTTAAGTCCTAATAAATTTCCACAAATGTGCACTTTGATAAAAATTCATATTTACTTGATATCTCCGTTATAAATCATAATGTCCATCTAAAATGAACCTCTAATGAGCAACACGGCAGTTAGCAATCTCTGAAATGTCTATTCTCTGCTTTCTATACTAAGTAGATATGATACAATGTAATAATGCATTTGCAACTTTTATTAGGAGACCCAAGAGTGTAATTGTTTTCAACACCAGGTAAACAACTATCAATACATGTTGCAGAGATCTATAAAAAAGAGTTATAATGAGAGAGGTATAAAAAAAAAAACCTTACCGTTTGTGTGTGTTTGTCACAGAATGTTTAATGACTAATTTGTTTCACACAAAAATTATGCATACCATGTGGGTTCATGAACAATAGTTAAATAGTTAAAATAAGTAAGACTTGTTTCTTTTTAGATGATTGAACATATGTTGTAAATAAAGAATATCAGAAGATTTGGACAATGTTATGAAATTTGCAATCGGTCATAGTAAATTATACGCTTTAAAATTTTATTTTATGTAGGTTGTTGCATTACTAATTCCCCTATAAACAATTAATGCAATGTAAGCGTTATGTATAGGTTGTTGGATTACTAATTCTCCTATAAACAATTTGGTATCAATGTAAGCGTCATGTAGATTGTCGCATTGCTAATTCCCCTACAAACAATTTACTGCAATGTAAGCGTTATGTAAGTTCTTGCATTACTAATTCTCCTATAAACAATTTAGTGCCAATGTAAGCGTTATGTAGATTGTTGCATTACTAATTCTCTGATAAACAATTTAGTGCCAGTGCAAGCGTTAACATATGTAAAGATCACTGAAGACCATAAAGGGACCTTTATAATTGCCTCAGCGATAAAAAATAAATATCTCCTATGGAACGCCATCACTGCCTTATAGCATACAACTATGCATTTATTATGTCAATTTATCATTGCGTGATGTGAACATATCTTTACGTTATGTCCATTTTTTTAAATATATATTAACATCATGTCAATGCTGCATAACATGAAGTAAATACATCCTTTCATTATGTCAGCACTTCATAACTTGAAGTAAAAAATTCATTATGTGAAGTGATAATGTGTTTACATTGTGTTAAAACTTTATCATGTGAAATGAATGTTTCTTTACATCATTTCATTTCTTTAATATGTGAGGTTAAAATTGCATTACGTGAAGTAAATTGTGTTTTATAATTAAACTTATTATCACATGAAGTCAAAAGCCCATTCCTTTTTGAGAGTGTATATTTCTATTATATCAAAGCATTACAACATGATATGGATTCATCTTTATTTTACGGCGAGGGCATCATGATGTGAGATGAACACATTTTACCTTTATGTCAGTGCTTGATTACGTGGTGTAAAAAGTGTATAACATAATGTGAACATATCTTTATATTATATCAACACTTTATTACATTATGTCAAAACTCCATTCCGTGATGTGGATATATAATTACGTTATGTCAACTCTTTCTTGTGTGATTTAAAAATGTCTTTATATTGTGTTAACTCTTTATCATGTTTTGTTTTGAACATATTTTATTGACAATATGTCAAAGGGATTGGACACAAGTTCCAAAAACTTAGATATTCCTCTCCCATATCATGTTGATTCCCAAAGTTCATTGCCTGATGTTAAAATACATTTACATTATCTCAAAGCTGTATATATCTAGTATTTATTACACACTTAGTAATAAATACAGGTTTTTTGCATATGCGATATGGCTGACGTCACAATAGCCGTATCAGCCCTGCAGGGCTGATATCCGTATCAGCCCTGCAAATCCATATCAGCCCTGCAGGGCTGATACGGCTATTGTGACGTCAATATCACACTCTTAGTAAATTAAACCACAATAACAGTACTTGTGATCATACACAATTTTTGGTGGGTTCATATTCTCTTAATTTTAACTTTTTGAAAATAAGGTTAATCATAATTTACAAATACGTGTAATACTATAGAATATTTTCAAATTACGGATCAAGTGCGTTGAAACAGAAGTAGAAACAAACCCAAATCGTATGAGACATAAGACTATGTACATGTATGTAAGAAGTCCATGCATGATTATATACTTATTTTCTTCTCAACTGAATGTGTTCTGTATTTTATTACTAAGTATGTAATAAATATAATAAAACATACCCTTTTCCACATCACATCCTGTATCAGCCCTCGACCAATATCAGCCCTCGGGCCTTCGGCCCTCTGGCTGATATTGGTGTCTCGGGCTGATACAGGATGTGATATGGAAAAGGGTATGTATTATTCTCTATATAATGAATGTTGACGACCGTGTTTTAATGACTGGTAAGAAGGGGGGGGGGGGTCCTGATTGATTAGGACGAATTACAGGCACATAATATCAACCCCCCCTCTTTTCCCAGACATAACTTTACTATAGAAAATGTAATGTACGTTGAAACTGTACAGCCCCCACCCCCACGTTTTGCTGAAGTATAGTCCACTAAGGGTACTGTAGTATATCTGAAATAGGAAATGTCATTAAGAGTTTGACATAATGTAAAGGAAAGTTAACACAATGCAATAGTAGTGTGGGTTAATGTCATAAAGAGTTGAAATAATGTAATGGAAGGTTGACACAATGCAATAGTAGTGTAGGTTGATGTCATAAAGAGTTGACATAATGTAATGGAAGGTTGACACAATGCAATAGTAGTGTTCTGCTATAAGGCAGTGACAGCGTTCCATATCTCCGTTTAAGTGATATATTACAAGTACAAGCACCTTCCTTCTAAATACGATATATAGATAGTTGTTTTGAACAGTTCGAACTAAAGCCAGATATCTGGTACAAAGTAAAATACTTTAAACTTTCTATTAATATTCGCGAATTTTTTATTTGCAATCATTCAGTTTGAACCATCAGCGACTAGGAAACTAGAAACCTTTCTGAATTTTGATTAAATTGAAATGTTTCTTAAGACATGTTTCATAAGTTTAAATATCATACTTAAGTCTGTATACAACTGAGTATATAATATTGAATTTGGGATTATTTCTGATTTTTCTCTGAGTGAAAATTGACTTAACTTGAATTGATAAATTAAAATGTTTCAGAATCATTTAGCCTAGCAGGAACAGCTATCTATTATACTGTTGAAAAAAATGATACGTAGAGGTTGTAACAGTATCAACATTGTAGATCATTGTTAAAAAGATTTTTAGTCATTTTGGCCTTTTGTGGAAGTGTCTAAGAATATGCAATTTTAATCTGCGTGTGTTCCCTGTCACCTTGATCATAAAGACTTTTCCAGTATAATAACAAAGTAATTTATGCACATATGATATTTTTAACTGGTTTAAATAAACCAGTACAAGTGTACTTGTAAAATGATATTGCTTATGCAATTTCATAAAACAGCCTGTCAGTGAGTCGCTTCGTACATTTTGGGTCGATACAATAAACTTGTCAGCAAATACAATTTATCATCAAGTCAAATGCACATGCTGACGGACGTTTTTTCATACTAATTGTTGGGCCATTTTTACTCCCTGCATTGTCGACGGATTTTCTCACTATTTCCTTTTCAATACAAGGAGCAAACAGCGGGTGTAATCGGTTGGCAGGAGAATAATCAATCCTCCATGGCACCTGATCCCACCTCTGATGTTTTAGAGGTCCGTGTTTGCTCTGCTTCTATCTTGTATTGTTTAATGGACTTTTCAGCTTGAATACTGTTCGTTATCTCCATATATAACACAGTAGTGAAGAAGAATCTTCATGAGTACTGTGTACTGTACAATAGCGTATTCAAGAAGTAGTGTAAATCAGATGTGAATATTTATTTCCAGTAATTTTATTTTGGAAAATATGAAATCACAAAATTCTTACCAAGATTAATAGCATCAAAACTTACGGATTTCTAACACTTTATACGACTATTGCCTTCAATAAATGAAAGATGCCTACAGTTTTCTCTAATTTAAGAAATGTATAGACGGCTGCTTTTTCAATAAAAATGAAACTCGTACACACATTTACTTTTTTCTTGTTCATTTTCAAATTTATTTTGTTAAAACACTCTGGGTACCAATGGGTGTAAATTACATCCCGTTGTTAGCAATTTTTATATTAACATAAAGCAGCATTTATTCAAAAACCTTTGCGCGAGAAGAAGATCACACTTGCTGAGGAGTTCAACTGGACTTTTAATATATACAAGTATCTAGGACATATTACCAATTAACACTAGATACTACCACCCATCTCTCCATATATCCCAGAGAGCTTGAAATAATAGATACTACAGCTTCTGACAAATAAATTACAAATTTGGATATTTTGCCAGAGAAAAACGTTTAAAATAACCTAACAACTTAGCTTTATGATAAACGTGATGACTTCAACTTTTGACACGTCAATTTTAATTAATTATGTAACAATATAGCCTTATCAAATGCATGTGGAGATTATGTTTCCGCATTGTACTAACAATATATAAACGCGGCCAGTTATTGATAAACAAGTTGATGAAACAAGAATATCAACGGTTTTGATTGAAGTCATCCTTGCGGAAAGTTTTTTGATCTATACAAAGGCCTTGTCAGCAAATACAACGGTAACCTATCTTTGAGTAAAATGCTGCAAAACTTTTCATTTTTTTTAATTTTTAGTCTCATTAAAATATTCACACAAGGAATGGTCTTCGATTTTATCATTTTTCCTTTTGGTTCTTGGTAGTGGCCTTTTCCAGATCATGAATTTGTCCAAAACAAAGAACATGTTGCGGGTGTGAATTTAACAACGATAATTTCCATCTTTAGCAAGCTTTAGGAGAAACTAACTCCTCATCATGCAACGATATTTTTTTGTTTATTCAATACCAATTTTGATGAACAATTTTTAGAACAAGGTAAATTAAATTGACAAACAAGTTGCTGAAGCAAGAATAAAAGCTGTCTCGTTTTAAGCCATCATTTCGTAAGTTTTGCCCCATGACAAAGAACATTGTGTTGCAGGAGAAACTAACTCCTCCATGGAACGTGATCCCAATTTTGATGTTTTAGAGGGTCATCTTTGTTCTGCCCCTGAATTGAGTTTGAATACTGTTTGTTATCTTCAAATATTTCACTAATTCATAAAATCGCGGTAATTTGTTAGTACACAGTTCTTTCAGTAATGTTTTAACATTTGATGAAAATTCAAGATATCTGTGATGTTTTTATGCCTACTGATTGAACAGATCTTATGATTCTGCAAAATTATGATTCCCGTGAAAAAAGGTACTTACTTTATAATATCCATACAAAGTAGCAATTTAAATCAACCAAGAATGTTTTTGTTTTTAATACATGAAAAAATCCAATTTCCGATTTTCAAACTTCAAGTCACGTTAAAGAAACTTGTAAAGAAATTAATAAAGTCGGAAAATCAGGAGAAAACTAATGTAGTTTTAATATCAACATGCTCTAAAATATGAATAAATGGCATCAAATAAAACTAAAAATATACTTGCAGGTACATGTAATTAGTTCTAATAACACAACAAAATGCTTTTATTTGCAGATAAAGAAGTGAGCTTTCGAGTATACACGTAAGTTTTTTTTTTCCATATTCGTTTTAAGTATCAAGTTTTATGCAAATCAAACAATCAAGAAACATTTTCTTTTTCATTCGACTTCCTAAAAATGGTTTACGCTGTCTGCCCCGTTGGTGTCTGTGTTATAATTGGGGACATTGCTGTCTACGGTTAAGCTGCTTCCAAATGAACTGCTAGAAATCTGTCTGTGGATACTCTGTTTAGCAAAAGACGATGCGAACCCTGCTAACCCTTTCTTCTTTGATTTTGCATCCGGGTGCAGAGCTTTAAAATATACAGGACATCAAAAACTTTATATTTGAGACCATATTGATTGTTACATTTGCACGTTTTAACTAGAAATTTATGAAGCAGTTTTAAGTACATGTCGTGATTTACCATTTATGGCGTCAATTTCCTTTGCTGACACACCTGCAGATGAGGCAAGCTTTCGCATTGCTTCGAAGCAAATCTGAAATGATAATGATCTACTTAGATTAAGGAAGTCAGATGTGCTCTCTAGTAAAATTGAATCTTAAAGTTTGATGGCATGAGCCCATCTTTAAAAAAAGTAAAGAGCATTCCCTAGCACATAGCAACTTAACACACAATGCTGCTTATTTATTATATTGCAGTTTCATGTATCAACTTTGTGATGTCCTTTTTTGTAATTAAATCATATATGTTTTAAAAGACTATTAAATATTTTGACTAAAATGCCTTATAACGATCATACCTGTAAATCTTTAGTGTTTGCTTTTGCAGCTTTAAGTTCGGCAGCGATTTGTTTCTTCTGTTTGTACATCAACTTCATCCGGAAGTGCTCGTGGTCGATTACAGCCACAACCAGACCTGAAAAGGGGAGTTAATCTGGCATTGAGAAGCAATTCTGATTTCATCATCATTTTCACAAGATACTGGTAAACGATAAACTTCAACACATATTTTAAAACTAAGGTTTTCAGCTGCAGTCCATTTTGTTCCTAAGTATGATGAACTTAGTGGACCAAAAACCTTTGGTTTGCTCAGATCTATCGCAGTAGTAGGAGATATTTTGTGTATAAGTAGCTTACCCACCATCTTTTATCTTGATTTTTATTCAATGTCCCACTACTATTAAAATGCCTTTTTATCATACGGGTGAATTCACTTATTTTTCATCGAAAATGATTTATATACTAGTAGATCTGTTCTTTTTGCAGGATATTGAAATTATAGAGGATAGATATTCTTAATAGCAGCTTCTCGGGCGTTGTTTTTAGCCGGGCTCATTGCTCGTAGAGCAACACTCGGCTTTTGCTACGGTGTTCAACAGGAAATGCTGCTTCATCACCGCTAAATCAAATTTACGCGATAGAATATAGTACGTTGGCGCAATCAACTTTGAGGCAATACAAACACTGAATTAAATTTTCAAAGTTATCTGAAATTGTCAAAAAATAATTGTAATAATATACTTTCTACCGTGTTCTTCGATTAATTATTTGTTTGAAATATGAAAAAGGTTTTCATCAGGTATCCATGTCTGTGTCATATTCTATAAATAAACGTTGTACTATCAGGCTAACACAAATGCGGGGAACATCATTAATGATTGATTGATTGATTGATTTATTGTATACTGTTTAACGTCCCTCTCCAGAATATTTCACTGATATGGAGACGTCACCATTGCCGGTGAAGGGCTGCAAATTTAGGCCTATGCTCGGCACTTACGGCCTTCGAGCAGGGAGGGATCTTTATCGTGCCACACCTGCTGTGACACGGGGCCTCGGTTTATACGGTCTCATCCGAAGGACCGCTCCATTTAGTCGCCTTTTACGACAAGCAAGGGGGTACTGAAGACCTATTCTAACCCGGATCCCCACGGGGCGGAACATCATTAATGTCTAAATGACTTGATGTACGCTTTGATGCAAAACTCCCCGCTGAGGACGTATGCATCAGTGCATAATCGTTTGACCTTAATTAATCTTGCTGCATCAGTGTTTATTTACTTCTGTTGGTATAAATAAAACCCATGATACATGTAAAAAATGTTTTTCGCTGTTAAATCTAGCTATATTTTATTTAATTTTGAAACTTTTCAATACTATATATGCCATAGAGATATTTTTGTGTGTTACATATTATCCTCTTGATGTCTGAACTTGTTTTTAAAATGTCATCACGGTCTTTTTCATTACCCTGTAAATGAGCCCGGCTTTCAGTACAAGTTTTTGAGTACTTTGATTTCCGACCTTTGACGGAAAGACCCGAGGAGATGCAGATATTCAATTTCCTCTGGCCTCATTTTGAAAGTACAGTATTTAGACATGTTTGTACACGGTTTTCTGTCAATAAATTCTTAGATTTTTCATTGCACCGACGTCTTTTATTTATATATAATATAAACCACAGTTCAAGGATGCGCTACTCCTAAGAAACAGGAAACTTACTGTTGACCACTCGAACAACTCGCCACGGAACCAAAAAGGCCAGAATAACCACAAACTTCTGAACTTTGTACGCACTCAGCCCTTTAATAAAAACCAAGTCCACGATAAAGGAAGCCACCACTATAAAACCGTCAAATACCTGGAAAAAATCATATCGTGTGTTTTTTTTTATTTTTACAGTGTGATTAATGGAGGAGGGTTAGAGTCGTAACAAAAATACCGGTTATTGAGATATGATCTAGGAGTCATTGAAATTACTTCCAAAGGGCCTGTTACTCACCTCGAGTTTGTTTTCGAAATACTCCTTTCCACTGCTGAACGCCTTTAGTATATTCTAGAAAGAAATAAAAGAAATGTGTTTTTGAACCAGAGTAGTTTCCCATGCTATTTTTTTTTTATCATAATTCATTGAAATACATCATTTAATCCCGTAAAACCTGTCCATTTGATTAGAAGAAAGCCTATTAATTCTATGCAAATAACACGACAGGAGTTGTTTTCACAAATACTTTGGTACTGAGCAGAATCTTTGCCGGACAACAAGTAGTGTGCACTGTACAACAGAATCGACGTAAAACTATGAAGGACTAATGTTAAATAACCTACCTCCACAGCTAAAACTGCCAAAATAGCAATACTGCAATAATGAAAATAGTGTGCCAAGTCAACTTCGATAGGATGATGATCAAAATCATGGTTCTCCTCTATGTCACTTCCGGTTTTGTTGACATGATTCGGTGATTCGGCTGCTCTTTTTCTTCTGTCAGAATTCGTTGAAGATGCAAAAGTAGTGGTTGTTATATCGTTTGTCAACAATGTGGTCAACATTGGGGTTGATGTTGTCATGGTAACCGTTGTTTCCGTCGCCCTCCTGGGTCTGTATGCGCTGTTGAAATCTACTTGAGCCAATAAGATTTTCCTATGAAGATTGTCCAGTTCAGCATAGTCGTACTTGTAATTCTCCAGAACTTCGGGATACTGAGCTTTCATGTTGGTGACGAATTTCAGAGCTTCAGTTTCGCCGTGATCAACAACACCTAATATGTATATAACAGTCAGAAACTTTATAAATCTAATTTGTTGAAGTAATTTGAAATAGTCCACAGTGCCTTAAATTTGATAACATGAAATACATTTAGTTATTACATTGTAACGAAAGCAAATGATTATCGGTTTTACTTTTCATGTCTTACAGTGTATATACATGTGAAGTGCATATACAAATGTTTTTTTTTAATATTCAACCAACGAAAGATAACTGTGATGGATGTTAAAGAGACCTGAATGTGGACCGGAGAAAGTGATTTACTTGTACAAAGAACAAAACACAGTACACGTGCCTTTGTCATTTGATTACCTTTGAGGTAGTATATATCCAGTATAAGTTCCCCCATCACCAGAATACAGTCCACTATATTGAGGAGTACTATAGCCAGGAGAACCCATTTTGTGTGCATAAACTTTTCTCCTTTGTATCGAATTCTTAAAATAATAAAAATAATATTTTTAGTATTATGTTTATTTCATTTGACCAGGCCTGATATCAATAAATTAAACAGGTATTACTCTAGATGAGACAGTTTTTTTTTTTATTGTTTCGTTAAATACAGAAATATAGGAATAGTATTTTTTACTTTTTATTTCATTATTTGTTATGTTTTGAAAATGTATATAATGTCCTCATTCATATCAAAGGAAGAATATTAATGCAGTTTGTGTCGAAACTAAATAAGACATGGACTTTTTTTTTTATTTCAAAGTTTCTTCTGTCAGTTTTATGCCTTTTATAATCTTACTTTCCAATTTTTGATTTTGGTGGTTTTCTGTTTTCTCGCTCTATTTCGTGTTCCAAACTCTTCTCAGTTTCATTCAGGACGGCATGTGCTCTCGCTAAGGATAGTGACCCTTCGGCGAGTGCCTGGAAATATGGCACACAAAAAACAAAAACGTCAAATGAAACACACACCTATATTGAATTTTTGTATTTACTACCACCCGGTATATTCATAAATTACAATATAACAGGACCTCCCCTTTTTTCAAAAATAAAAACAGCTAAATAGTTAAATGTTGAAATAATTTTTTTACGTGCAGTCCCTTCGTATTCTTTTTCTTTCTATCACCAAGAAGCCCCATCTTCGCCTATAGGAGAAAAAAACATAAAGAGTGTAGATGATGCTGATCAGATAATATTCATTTTATCACACACTGACCAAAGTTTATGGCCTGTAGCAAGGTTATAATTCCTTTTAAATTGTAGGTATACGAGCTTTGATATCTATTGTTAGAACCCAAGGTCTTACAAATTATTCATCAGGTTGGATATAATGTGTTTTACAGTAGGTTATTGACCTCATAAACTTGTATTACCCGAACATAAATTTTGTCAAACACTAAAAAAAACGTAACACAAGGTTCAACTTTATGTTGTTTGCCAAAAAATGGTACGAGGGTTGATCCAAAAGTAGTGTCACAGTGTCCATAACTTCTATATTTGGCGTCACATTATCAAATACAATATACCAGAAGATGCAAAAAACGAAAAAAAAAAAACACAAAAACATACAGAAGAGTAAGAAAATTTAAAAAGAAAACCAATATTTCTCGATATTTCAAAAAGACCATGACAATGTCAAAGTCATTACATAGTGGATCTTCCAGTTCTCCTTTTCGGCAAAAATTAAGATTTTTTTTAAATTTAGACTGTTAATACTAAGTTTGAACAACAAGTATAATTGATAAAACTTTTGCAAAATTGTATAACAGGCATCCGTTTTACTGACCATTTTACAACTGAATTATCAAGTTTGACCAATTTATATTTGTACTACACCATAGCCTGGGGGTAAAAATTTAGGAGCGTTACTATTGAAATAACTCTCGCATTTCTCATTTACACGGTTAGAGGTGTTGACCTTTCTTTCCCTACTTAAGAGCAATTAAAAGAAACTGACTTGACCATTAAAGTTATCTTTGGAGTTGACTCGTTATTCATGAATAATTTTGAATTTTGAATCTGGGGTCATTTTTGTAAGTCTAAATACATGTAAAATGTTTATAATAGGTATCTTTTTGGCTATATACAAGTAAAATTCAGTTAATAAATATAAATAAATACATTTTACTTACTAATAAATATTAAATATCTAAGAAACTTTAAAGTGTTGCTGAATTATTGTGTATAGGAAACCATAGTCACCTATATAGAGCATAAAATGATTACAATCTGTTTATGCACTCTTTAAGTCTAGTTCAAATGAAGGTTCTTTTTGAGAATTTTGATTTTTAGATAGATATTATTAAAAAGATTATATTTTCATCGTTTTATAGAAAATTGATTATACGCGGTTAATACGTTATGAATCAAACTGCGAAATAACAAATCCCATATCATTACAATGTTTCCCCACAAAGGGTATTAAATTTTTATTTTATAAAGCTAATCGTTTTGCGACTAAAATGACTGTCCACAATTTTCTACATAGACAAAGTCATCCAAATACTTCTTAGTAAAACACATATATAAAATGGATACAATTTGAATTAATTTTAAAAAAAGTAAAGATACTTTAAAACTTTTCTCAAATGCATATTAGGCTACATTGTTTTCACTTGATTTTTTATATACATTTATCGTTGATTTGAAGCAATTTTGCATCGGAAATACCCTCGGAACTGCTCTCTTAATTAAAGTTGTTTAGATAATTAAAAGGATTTGCAAACATTTAAACTCAGACTTATTTTCCAGTTTTTTTAGATTAAATAAGAATGCATATAATAGAAATATGAAGTTCAAAACTAGGAATCTTAAAAACTTTATCAAGTCTTAATTATGTGTGTACGATTTTCTAGGTGAATTTTTTTTTTAAAAAAAATATCTAAGCTAAAAATGGTGCGAAAACTGGAAGAAAATAATCTCAATTTTAACTTACCTTTTCAGTTATCTACGGAAAAATTAAGCTGCGACGTGTTCAGTTTCCGTGACAACTAAAGTATCTTTAATGCTAAAATTCAGTCGACCACGAGAAGAAGAAAGCAAATGGAACAAAATGCTAAAATAAGAAATGAAACGACCCATGGACCATCAAACCTATTTACTACGAGGGTTGATCCAAAAGTAATGTCACAGTGTCTATATCTTTCATATTTAGCGTCATATCAAATACAATATACCAAAAGATGCACAAATACATTTAATTAAGGAATAACTCTAATTCTTGGCCAAATTATTCGATTATAACCTGGTTTGGGTCAGTTTACGCTTTATAATCCGCGAAGCGGATTATAAAAAAGCGTAAACTGACCCAAACCAGGTTATTATCGAATAATCTAGCCAAGAATTAGAGTCATTCCTTATAATTTAATTTTAAAATAATTAAACAACTGTGGGTGTAAAATTGTGCTGCTTTTTATGAGTTCAAATTTGCCGCTCAATAATACATCCCTAGTAACGGAAGTGATATGAAACAAGGGGAGGTAATAACTGATACACAGATCTAGCAGCCATGATGTTTGTTTACATGAGGTAAGATCAAGCTACTGTTTGAAGTTAAAGGTACATTTATTAAATCTGGAATTTTCCATGAATCCCAAGGACTGGAAATGAGGGGATTGCATGGATAAAGATGATTCAGCTGGTTGTCAAGGGGGTGTCTCCCCATACCAAACCAGGTTATTGAGAAATAATTTGCGTTCCTTTTTGGAAATCAACCAATGAGAGACTAGAATACAAACAAAATTAAATTATTTTAATTTATCTTATAGATGTTTAAAACATAGAGCATAGGGGTGTCGCCTCGTCACAACTGAACGTCACGTTTTAAAGTTTTTTTTTTTCTTAGAATGAAAAAGACAAACACTTTAAAAAGATCCTAAAAAGCACCTAATCTCCCAATTTTTTAAAAGACACAATTCACGTCATTTTTTAGTATTTAATTGAAAATTAAATGACGGCATTGGTATTTGTGATCATAAACATTGTTGTTTTACTCTGTTGAATTTTGAACAAAAGGATTGTCGAAATGAGACATTACAGCTCGACGAGTTATAATGCATTTTTGCTTCAAAATATGGGAATCATCACTAGCGACAATTACGTTAATTAATCAGACTCAAAGAATAAAGAATGTAAATAAGAGACTTCTTATAGATAGTTTCAGAAATTTTGGGCGGGTGATTGGTCATTGAATGATCAGCAGAGGACAAGACCGAAAGATAGGAGATCGGACGGAAACGTTCAGTGGTGTCTGACGTTGTCAAGAAAGACAGACGGATAGAATGACATGTGAATTTTCAAGTTTGTCATATGCTACTGTTCAAAAAATTTTGACAGAAGGCTAAATTATGAAAAGAGTGAGTGTATAATGGTACCAAGAATTCTTAAAGAAATTGAAATTGGTAAAAGTGTTTGCGAATCAATTTTTTTTAATGAAACGAAGGGGAAACGCTTAAAAACATGACGGCGCATATCCGTCATATGACGTTATATTTAAGTGCGGCGACTACCATAAACGCACATTGTTTAAAATCCGATATTTTAGAAAGTAAACATTACGTTCCTCTGAATTTTTCAGGTCTGATTTGAAATAAATAAAGCTTTTACCATGTATAATTTTGTTGTTTTACGTCGATTTACAGCAATTTTATCAAAGCTGTGACATTACTTTTGGATCAACCCTCGTAGATAAGGTGGCTTCTTTCGATGACCATCTCTACCACCAATGTAAATGAATCCATTACTAGAATTAAAATCTATTCTGTCATCCATAATATTATGTATACTTAAATGATTCAGACAATATGTAATGAAAACCAAGAAAAAGTGATTTATAGTATTCTAACACCCTCTTCCAAGAGGGAGTTAAATAATACTAAAAAAAACAAACCTGTTTGTCATACCTGTGCAACACATACAAGTACATGCATTCTTTATTTATATTTTTTCATTTCATTTATATTCAAGGACGTTTAACCTGTTTGTTTAACAACCCATTTAGTTCAGTTACTAGATAATTTACACATTAAAGGAAAAAAAAGAGTGAAAAGATATGAAAAAACAACGTAAATTTCAGTAACACCTGTCAGCAACTGGCGGACATGCCTTTGTTTAAGATATCGCACTTTTTGTCTAGGCTAAAAAAAAAAAAATACCCATGTGTCATGCATGTAAAGTTTAGGGTAAATCTAAAATAACTATCGCAAAGACGGTGACAGTTACTGGTCATTCGGCAAACCTAGGTTGATTTCGTCACCTTCAGGTAGGAATCGGCCGAGGTGTGCCAAGTGAGTTACCGGTAACAAAACTTTTTTTGAGCGTGATATGAGCAAAGTCCTAAAAGTTGTCTGGCTAATTTTACGTTTGTGTAGACCGCTTATATCATAAAGGATTTGCTTATCTATATTTAAATTAAAATAAATTGTTTAATTAACCTGATTCACAATGAGCTTCTTGTTGCGACTATTGTATATATATATTGTATAACAATTGTATACGACGTTATATTACGTTGGTGCGACGTCATTATTTTCGTGTGCCTGCATGACTCGAAAAAAAATTAAATTAATCAACAAATCACTCAAAATAAAGCATGCGATCGGTGAATTCAATTTCCCGATATAATCATTACCATAGTTTACCAACAGCGTGGGACTATTTCAATGTGTGCTTTCTTTTTCTCGCAATAAAGTACAAAAAAATTATAACAAATGTACATGAATGGTAAGAAAAAATACATCTTACTGGATTTGAGAACATTTTTCAAACATATATATTTTTTGCATCATTTTTATCTATTAATAAATTGTACCCGATTCTAAATCGGAAATACTGCAGTTGAATTAATTTTGATTCAATTTTCCTTTCAAAATGTCGAAAAGGCCATTTCTTTTCATTACTTTGCCGATATATAGAATACTACAGAAAGCAGATACAGTATACTATATATAGAAAACAGGTATTAATACCAAAGAAAACATTACTAGTATTTACTACTACAGTGTATATGCTCCTGTCCTCTCAATAACAACGCCTGATACTCCCTCCTTTTTATGCTTGTCAAGGGATTTTTGGTTGTTGATAGTAACCCCAACTGAAAATATAAACGAGTAGCTGTGCCCTAACTGAAATTGCTTGATACGGGCCTGCAACTCCTGCCTTGACCCCCCCCCCCCTTCCACAAAACACCAATTGCAGCTGTAAGCCGAATCGCTATTGATTGCCAATAATAAAAGGGTCTGAGTTATAGATGACAATATATAGGACGTACATATTTTATTTGGTGATGTTACCTAAATCATTAACTCTCTCCTGTTGAAAATTATCTAACCCCCCCCCGCCTCAAAAGAAAAAAAATCATCAGTAGGAGTTTTTCAACCCTTCTTTGGATTTTCAGAGGGCGTGACTTTCTCGACGCAACTTGTTTACCGGCTGTCAAATGATGACGTTGATTCTCATTGGTTGCCAGATAAACTCATCAGTATTCATAGCATTGTTTACGTAGAACAAAAATAACACCACAAACTAGTTTGAAATTGTATTATTTCATACATGTAGTAGTAACAAAAAACAAAATTGAGCGTTAATACTATCCATATACTTTACAAAGGTAATAACATGCAGCTTAAAATGCATCTTAACGTTTTTTCGGCGGCAGTGAACAGAAATTCGGAGTTCCTCGCGTGGGGGCACATGCAGTTGCGCTGTGAACATGTAGAGATCCTACAAAAAAATTTAACTGTCAAAATATGTTTTAGATATTTACAAAAAAAAAAATAACGTAAATATATTATAACAAAGGACTTCGATTTTCGATTATTATAAAATGATCGATTTTTAGACCTTATATTCATGTAAAATGGAATTTAATTACTGTTTTTTTTAATTCTATTTAAAAAGAAATAAAACATAAATTATGTTCTTACCAGTGTTAATGTTGGGAAACTTCACAGGAAAAATTGTATTTTCTTCAAGTAGACGTTTCGCCGGGTTTCCCTGTGTTGGGGTGCAAGGTGGGCGCTTTGAATTGTCGAACTTGTTGATTATCCCTTCAAACAGTTCGGATACCCTGTCCAGGTCGTCCGGTACTTTTCCTTTAAAATGTTTTTCAAGTTTGGCGAGATCGATATTTACAGTTGCCGATTTCGGGACATAGCCTTCTGTCGTTTTTATGAGATACTTCTTTTTATTGCTGTTGATCAAATGGGTCCTTACTTTTTGCGCAAATGACATAGCTGAACTATTTTTCGCTTTCAGTCTTGTTTCATACTCTGTTCGTTTATTTAGTAACTCACGTTCGACTTTTTTAAGGCAATCACTTGCGGAATCCACGAGCATTTTTTCATCAGGATGTTTACTTAGGTCCCCGCACTGTTCCGGGGTCACGCACTTGTCTATCCTGCATTGCCGAATATTATGGTCCAGCCTAAGATGGCAATTTGAGCATTGCTTTCCCCTGCCCTGAACAACGGAACAATATTTGTCAGTAAGTTCGGTGAGCGGTCCCTCGCTGACTGGGTTTGAGTCTCCAGTTCTGAAATCTCCTCTTCAATGACCTCAAGTGAATGATCAAGGGGAGATTTGTATTCATAATAATCCAAAAAATTTGGCTCATGGTCGGTTTGAAAATCAAGCTCTCTCCTAGCTACAGGCTCGCAATTCTGTTCCAATCGCGTACATGAAGATCCGGTGCCGGCATCTAACTTGGCAGATTTAATCCCAGCTGGTGAAGACCCTTCGACAACTTTAAGGTTAACAACTGGGAAATCGCACCGTGCCTGAAACGTTCTCACCTGTCTTATATGAGCATTTCAACCCTTCTTTGGATTTTCAGAGGGCGTGACTTTCTCGACGCAACTTGTTTACCGGCTGTCAAATGATGACGTTGATTCTCATTGGTTGCCAGATAAACTCATCAGTATTCATAGCATTGTTTACGTAGAACAAAAATAACACCACAAACTAGTTTGAAATTGTATTATTTCATACATGTAGTAGTAACAAAAAAACAAAAAAGCAAAATTGAGCGTTATTACTATCCATATACTTTACAAAGGTAATAACATGAGCTTAAAATGTATCTTTAGTTAACGTTTTTTCGGCGGCAGTGAACAGCTCGGAGTTCCCCAAGTGGGGGCACATGCAGAACTTGCGCTGGCACTGTGAACATGTTGAGATCCTACAAAAAAATTGAACTGTCAAAATATGTTTTAGATATTTACAAAAAAATAACGTAAATATATTATAACAAAGGACTTTGATTTTCGATTATTATAAAATGATCAATTTTTAGACCTTATATTCATGTAAAATGGAATTTAATGACTGTTTTTTTTAATTCTATTTAAAAAGAAATAAAACATAAATTATGTTCTTACCAGTGTTAATGTTGGGAAACTTCACAGGAAAAATTGTATTTTCTTCAAGTAGACGTTTCGCCGGGTTTCCCTGTGTTGGGGTGCAAGGTGGGCGCTTTGAATTGTCGAACTTGTTGATTATCCCTTCAAACAGCTCGGATACCCTGTCCAGGTCGTCCGGTACTTATCCTTTAAAATGTTTTTCAAGTTTGGCGAGATCGATATTTACAGTTGCCGATTTCGGGACATAGCCTTCTGTCGTTTTTATGAGATACTTCTTTTTATTGCTGTTGATCAAATGGGTCCTTACTTTTTGCGCAAATGACATAGCTGAACTATTTTTCGCTTTCAGTCTTGTTTCATACTCTGTTCGTTTATTCAGTAACTCACGTTCGACTTTTTTAAGGCAATCACTTGCGGAATCCACGAGCATTTTTTCATCAGGATGTTTACTTAGGTCCCCGCACTGTTCCGGGGTCACGCACTTGTCTATCCTGCATTGCCGAATATTATGGTCCAGCCTAAGATGGCAATTTGAGCATTGCTTTCCCCTGCCCTGAACAACGGAGCAATATTTGTCAGTAAGATCGGTGAGCCGGTCCCTCGCTGATTGGGTTTGAGTCTCCAGGTTCTGAAATTTCCTCTTCAATGACCTCAATTGAATGATCAAGGGGAGATTTGTATTCATAATAATCCAAAAAATTTGGCTCATGGTCGGTTTGAAAATCAAGCTCTCTCCTAGCTACAGGCTCGCAATTCTGTTCCAATCGCGTACATGAAGATCCGGTGCCGGCATCTAACTTGACAGATTTTATCCCAGCTGGGGAAGACCCTTCGACAACTTTAAGGTTAACAACTGGGAAATCGCACCGTGCCTGAAACGTTCTCACCTGTCTTATAAATCTGTTGAAATTTGTGTCCAATAGATCAATAAAGTCATTTTCATCATCTTTATACATTATGCGCACGGCCGGCATCCGTCCCAAATATTTAATTTGAGTTTGGATAAGTCCTTCAAGACCTATAAATCCAAGAGATAAGAGTTCTCGGAGTGAAACACTCATCAGGGTACATCTTTCACTTCCATAATAATCATAATGTACCTTAAAATCAATTTCACAATAATCATCCGAAATTATCTTTGACACAGCCATGTCGCGCCCAATACTGTAATGTGATGCAATCTCCCGTGCAAACATGTACAAAGTCTGTTGAATTCGCGGGAAATGTTACACCAGCCAATAAAATTGCATTTTACATCAGAGAACATTTAGTTGGAGGGCAGAGTAAGTTGAGGTAATATACATTTCCTATTGTTTTAAGAAAAAATATTTTCTGTATTCAACTTCACTAGTGTTTTGACAATACATTTACTTATTCAGAAATTGAAAAAAATAATGTCAAACACTTAATTTTAGTCGCTTTAAGCCTTAAATCCACTCCTCATCTGATTAACATGTTTGTACACCCCCTTATCCACCCAATCCTTAGAATTTGTAATGAAGTTGCTTATATACATCACAGGCGTCGAAACCGGGGGGAGGGGGGGGGGGTAGTCCATTTTTGCACAGATATAGCCATGGCACAATGGGGCTCCTTCTACAAATGTTTTTTAGTGGGAGGGGTGTGTAATCCCCCCCCCCCCCTGTACCCTTGTTCAATTTGTTTCTGACACCTATGTGCAGTGTTCATTTACCCTCCCCTTTTTACTGTACAAAGTGTCTTCGAACACGTTGCCCCCCCCCCCCCCCATTTTATTGCAAAATAATCAAAAGATTTCGTGGTAATTGTAATCAGTTTAATTTAAATATTGTGTGGCTGGAATCTATATGATTTTTATCTTATAACCAAAATAATCTATATTTAATGATGTGGAAAAAAACCTAGACAAGATTCTTTGGAAACGATGTGCCATTGTTTAGGTAGTTACTAGTGCCTTAATATACATGTATCTACCTGTATAAAATTTTGATACACAATTTTTGTTAAATATTTTTTTCTGAATAAATCATTATTAGAGAAGGGGGCTGTCTATCAAAACAGTTGTGATCCTTTGTAGAAAATCGGGACCTAATAGCTTTTAATTGCTTTTATATACCAGTGATGAGGATTTATCTTTTAATTAGAACTTGTCTCAAATATTTTTTGTTCAAATAAAGAGTTACCTGAATTAAAATATGATATGGTTATGAAAATATTTCTCTCATAACCCCCCAATATTCAACATAGGGTATTAGGTCTATCAGCTCATGTATGACAATATGCATGCATGATTTTACGGAAATGACATTAAATAATTTACTGCAACATGTAATGCTATTTTTTGTGAAGTTTCATATCATTTTCAGTATTACTGGTAAACAAGAAGGAAATGGAGACTGTAAATCAACGTGGTAGACCATATGTTAAAGGGAAAGCTCTTTCAAAAGACATGAGAAGTTTAATAATAAATGACTTAATTCAAGGTGGTGCTGTCAAAGGTAACCCTACCATTCCTCGTGGTCTAGGTGTTGAGTTGTCGCACAAATTTAAAGTGTCGAAATCGACAGTGTCAAATCTCTGGAAAAAATACAACGAGAAATTCTCGGTTTCTCCTCGCAAACCATTTCATGCAAGTACACGGAAAATAGGAGAAGAGGACTGTGAGTTTATTAAAGTATTGAAAACTGAACAACCTTCTATGCAATTAAAAACAATAAAAAATGAGTTACTTCGCCATTCAAACAGTATAACGCACGTCGGAATAGGAACGATTTCTAACACGATTCGAAAAGATCTCAACATGACATACAAAAAAATGTGTCTGTATCATAAAAATAGATTTAATATTCACAATCTCCAATATACACAAAGATTCCTTAACTATGTCGCGAATAAAGATCCATACACATTAAAGTTTATGGATGAAATGGGAATCAGGTTGGTGGACGGTCAGCCAAACTACGGACATTCCATTAAAGGTACAAGATGCGTGGAAATGACCAGATATGACAGAACAGCCAACTATACCGTCAATTTGATCGTTGGTATTACAGGTGTTAAATATGTCTCTATTATTGATGGTCCATCAGATACTTTCAAGTATGTTGGCTTTATTGGAGAGGCAGCCAATAGTTTTACAGATGAGGGAGAGAGAGCATTCCAGTTGGGGGATACCCTGGTGATAGATAATGCCCCTATTCACCACCATACCGCCGAAAGAATCCTCAGAAATTGGCTACCGACTATAGGTGTAGATGTTCTGTTTTTACCTACCTATTCTCCAGATCTTAACCCAGCAGAAAAATGTTTTCTTAAAGTTAAGACTTTGATCAAGAGTGATAGATATGTAACTGCTCTACATAAAGATATGAAAGAGGCCGTACTACAAGCCTTCGGCGAAATTACTATGGCAGACACTTTGTCCTTCTTTCATGCAACAGATTGCATATTCGCCTAACGAAGTTAATTTGAGCTTAAGTTGACATTGTAAAGAGTTGATCTAATCTTTGGATGTTGTGAAGGGAGCAAGCTGAATTTAATTCGACAGAAGCTGTCCTCGAGAAGTAAATACGTCTCCGTGCACCCCCCCCCCATAATCAGATCTAATTAAATGGCGCTAGTCCCTTAACCCCCGACCCCTAAGATTTTGTGTGCGGGAAGTTCTCGACCCAAATTTTTCTTCAAACTTATCCAGGTTTATACAATGTAGATTAACAGTGTCTAGTTTAAAAATTTGTAAATTTTTCATTGGTCATTTAAATAAAGTAGATGAAACATATCCGGCGGAGTAAAGAGTTCTTTGTTAATTACATGTACTTATTACTTTTAGTGTTTTTCTCTGTGGATTGGAAAATGTTACACATGCACTAAATGTATATAAAGAAAAAAGAGAATAAATTTGTAGTATTTTATCATGCAATTTGTGCATAGGACTTTTCTTTGGGATCCAAGAAAAATATCATTACTAACTTTTAATTTTTCATGTCACAATCATTCTCGAAATCCATGGATTTTGTTTCCATTCTATTTCCACAAAATTGAACAAAACGATGCTACTTGTATTTAAAAGAGGTCAACCAACACTGTGTATTTCCTCACAGTTTACATAATCTTTACGGTAGGAATATTGCGTTAAAATTTGTAATTGTCCGAGTTAACAAAAGCGATTATACCGTCGTAAAAGCAGCGATTTGCAATAAAAAGGGGGCTTCCTGTAATTCGGGTCACAAAACACATACTGGAAAACCAAATTTAAAATTAAATGATTATGTTGAAAACTTATCAGAAACTGAAGTGATTGAATCTGATTGAAAATAGTTATTTCTAGTCAAATATCTCTTCAAACCCCGCTGGGTTTCTCGAAACATAGATTTATCATTTTGCTCTTTTGAAAAGTTGTTTAATACTATAACTGTTATGATTGACTGTGTGAAATGATTGCGTACAAAAATCTGTCAAATTACATAACATCGACCGACATTATTCTGAACTGAAATTTACAACTGCTTTTCTCTCAGGAGAAATATACATCAAAAACTTGCGCAAACGTCATAGAGTGTAAAAAACAGGAAGCTCGTAGGTGGGGCTAGTAATCAGCTACATCGCTGTTGCAACCAATGAGAATCAGCGTCATCATTTTACAGCCGGTAAACAAGTAGCGTCGAGAAAGTCACGCCCTACTGAAAGTCCAAAGAAGGGTTGAAATGCTCATAAATCTGTTGAAATTTGTGTCCAATAGATCAATAAAGTCATTTTCATCATCTTTATACATTATGCGCACGGCCGGCATACGTCCCAAATATTTAATTTGAGTTTGGATAAGTCCTTCAAGACCTATAAATCCAAGAGATAAAAGTTCTCGGAGTGAAACACTCATCAGGGTACATCTTTCACTTCCATAATAATCATAATGTACCTTAAAATCAATTTCACAATAATCATCCGAAATTATCTTTGACACAGCCATGTCGCGCCCAATACTGTAATGTGATGCAATCTCCCGTGCAAACATGTACAAAGTCTGTTGAATTCGCGGGAAAAGTTACACCAGCCAATAAAATTGCATTTTACATCAGAGAACATTTAGTTGGAGGGCTGAGTAAGTTGAGGTAATATACATTTCCTATTGTTTTAAGAAAAAATATTTTATGTATTCAACTTCACTAGTGTTTTGACGAATACATTTACTTATTCAGAATTTGAACAAATAATGTCAAACAATTAATTTTAGTCGCTTTAAGCCTTAAATCTACTCCTCATCTGATTAACATTTTTCCTGTACACCCCCTTCTCCACCCAATCCTTAGAATTTGTAATGAAGTTGCTTATATACATCACAGGCGTCGAAACCGGGGGTGGGTGGGGTAGTCCATTTTTGCACAGATATAGCCATGGCACAATGGGGCTCATTCTACAAATGTTTTTTTAGGGGGAGGGGTGTGTAATCCCCCCCCCTGTACCCTTGTTCAATTTGTTTCTGACACCTATGTGCAGTGTTCATTTACCCTCCCCTTTTTACTGTACAAAGTGTCTTCGAACACGTTGCCCCCCCCCCCATTTTATTGAGTATAATCAAAAGATTTCGTGGAAATTGTAATCAGTTTAATATAAATATTGTGTGGCTGGAAGCTATATGATTTTCACCCTATAACCAAAACAATCTAAATGTTATGATGTGGAGAAAAACCTAGATAAAATAATTAAAAGTAGTTTTTACTGCATGGTTAAGATACTTTGGAAACGATGTGCCATTGTTTAGGTATAGTTACTAGTGCCTTAATATACATGTATCTACAGTACCTGTATAAGATTTTGATACACAATTTTTGTTAAATATTTTTTTCTAAATAAATCATTATTAGAGAAGGGGGCTGTCTATCAAAACAGTTGTGATCCTTTGTAGAAAATCGGGACCTAATAGTAATTGCTTTTATATACCAGGGATGAGGATTTATCTTTTAATTAGAACTTGTCTCAAATATTTTTTGTTCAAATAAAGAGTTACCTGAATTAAAATATGATATGGTTATGAAAATTACTCTCATAACCAGGGATGAGGATTTATTTTTTATTACTCATAATTAGAAACTTGTCTCAAATATTTTTTGTTCAAATAAAGAGTTACCTGAATTAAAATATGATATGGTTATGAAAATATTTCTCTCATAACCCCCCAATATTCAACATAGGGTATTAGGTCTATCAGCTCATGTATGACAATATGCATGTATGATTTTACGGACATGACATTAAATAATTTACTGCTACATGTAATGCTATTTTTTGTGAAGTTTCAATCATATCATTTTCAGTATTACTGGTAAACAAGAAGGAAATGGAGACTGTAAATCAACGTGGTAGACCATATGTTAAAGGGAAAGCCCTTTCAAAAGACATGAGAAGTTTAATAATCTATGACTTAATTCAAGGTGGTGCTGTCAAAGGTAACCCCACCATTCCTCGTGGTTTAGGTGTTGAGTTGTCGCGCAAATTTAAAGTGTCGAAATCGACAGTGTCAAATCTCTGGAAAAAATACAACGAGATATTCTCGGTTTCTCCTCGCAAACCATTTCATGCAAGTACACGGAAAATAGGAGAAGAGGACTGTGAGTTTATTAAAGTATTGAAAACTGAACAACCTTCTATGCAATTAAAAACAATAAAAAATGAGTTACTTCGCCATTCAAACAGTATAACGCACGTCGGAATAGGAACGATTTCTAACACGATTCGAAAAGATCTCAACATGACATACAAAAAAATGTGTCTGTATCATAAAAATAGATTTAATATTCACAATCTCCAATATACACAAAGATTCCTTAACTATGTCGCGAATAAAGATCCATACACATTAAAGTTTATGGATGAAATGGGAATCAGGTTGGTGGACGGTCAGCCAAACTACGGACATTCCATTAAAGGTACAAGATGCGTGGAAATGACCAGATATGACAGAACAGCCAACTATACCGTCAATTTGATCGTTGGCATTACAGGTGTTAAATATGTCGCTATTATTGATGGTCCATCAGATACTTTCAAGTACGTTGGCTTTATTGGAGAGGCAGCCAATAGTTTTACAGATGAGGGAGAGAGAGCATTCCAGTTGGGGGATACCCTGGTGATAGATAATGCCCCTATTCACCACCATACCGCCGAAAGAATCCTCAGAAATTGGCTACCGACTATAGGTGTAGATGTTCTGTTTTTACCCACCTATTCTCCAGATCTCAACCCAGCAGAAAAATGTTTTCTTAAAGTTAAGACTTTGATCAAGAGTGATAGATATGTAACTGCTCTACATAAAGATATGAAAGAGGCCGTACTACAAGCCTTCGGCGAAATTACTATGGCAGACACTTTGTCCTTCTTTCATGCAACAGATTGCATATTCGCCTAACGAAGTTAATTTGAGCTTAAGTTGACATTGTAAAGAGTTGAACTAATCTTTGGATTCTGTGAAGGGAGCAAGCTGAATTTAATTGGACAGAAGCTGTCCTCGAGAAGTAAATACGTCTCCATGCACCCCCCCCCCCCCCCCAATAATCAGATCTAATTAAATGGCGCTAGTCCCTTAACCCCCCCACCCCTAAGATTTTGTGTGCGGGAAGTTCTCGACCCAAATTTTTCTTCAAACTTATCTAGGTTTACACAATGTAGATTAACAGTGTCCAGTTTAAAAATTTGTAAATGTTTCATTGGTCATTCAAATAAAGTAGATGAAACATATCCGGCGGAGTAAAGAGTTCTTTGTTAATTACATGTACTTATTACTTTTAGTGTTTTTCTATGTGGATTTGAAAATGTTACACATGCACTAAGTATATATAAAGAAAAAAAAATAAATTTGTAGTATTTTATCATGCAATTTGTGCACAGGACTTTTCTTTGGGATCCAAGAAAAATATCATTACTAAGTTTTAATTTTTCATGTCACAATCATTCTCGAAATCCATGGATTTTGTTTCCATTCTATTTCCACAAAATTGAACAAAACGATGCTACTTGTATTTAAAAGAGGTCAACCAACACTGTGTATTTCCTCACAGTTTACATAATCTTTACGGTAGGAATATTGCGTTAGAATTTGTAATTGTCCGAGTTAACAAAAGCGGCTACCGTCGTAAAAGCAGCGATTTGCAATAAAAAGGGGGATTCCTGTAATTCGGGTCACAAAAACATACTGGAAAACCATGGAAATTAAGTAAATTTAAAATCAAATGATTATGTTGAAAACTTATCAGAAACTGAAGTGATTGAATCTGATTGAAAATAGTTATTTCTAGTCAAATATCTCTTCAAACCCCACTGGGTTTTTCTCGAAACATAGATTTATCATTTTGCTCTTTTGAAAAGTTGTTTAATACTATAACTGTTATGATTGACTGTGTGAAATGATTGCGTACAAAAATCTGTCAAATTACATAACATCGACCGACATTATTCTGAACTGAACTTTACAACTGCTTTTCTCTCAGGAGAAATATACATCAAGAACTTGCGCAAATGTCATAGAGTGTAAAAAACAGGAAGCTCGTAGGTGGGGCTAGTAATCAGCTACATCGCTGTTGCAACCAATGAGAATCAGCGTCATCATTTTACAGCCGGTAAACAAGTAGCGTCGAGAAAGTCACGCCCTACTGAAAGTCCAAAGAAGGGTTGAAATCCTCATAAGAGAAACTCATGTATAAATGATAGTTCACTCAGCATATTGACGTACCTTATACGGTCCATTTCTTTCTCGTTTTAAAAATCTTATACCTGCACTTGATTCAGACAATATTGTTGCGCATAAAAATATTACCAATCTAGACGTACATCATCACGAAGAAAATGGATACCTTGTATAATGAGATAATTGTAAAACAAATAAAAATAAATTAGATTAGTATGTAGACTAAATTAAACAAACAAAACAAAAAAATCATAAAAGTGAACCAAAAAATTAAACTGCAGGGCAGGCGCCAGACACACCGGTTGTGGATCTGTTTTTGTATTGTATCAACAATTAGGCAATCGTATTTTAGAAAGGTACGTACACACAGTAGATATCAGCGTTAAAAACTACTTATAATGTAAAAGATAACCTTGATCAAAACATCGTTTATTCTCAATTACATCCAAAAAATATTTCAATACACCAAACAACCTTTAATATATATTTTTCTTTTTACTGCATATAGTACTTTTTGCTTGCTAATATGAACACGGTAAGCTTTTTACGTCAAATCCTATTGTGACGTCAGCAAACCCGCGATCTACCTTAAAAAGCTCTACTTGTTATAAGTATTTCTTTGTCATAATTGAATCACGTCATAGTTGTTATACGTCACACTAATTTCATTGGATATCTATGACGTCATAATACTTGGCCTTTCGTTGTTAGACAGAATGGGTCTAATTCACAGTTGCTTGGAAAAAAGAAGCAATAAAGTAGGTATCCTTTCAGAGGAAATGTCTGCCCATAAGAAAATCGAGAAGGAGATCGAAAATGAAGTATTGGAAGGGAAATTTCACAACAAAACTGTTTCCTGGAAAATGTTTTGCGTTGCTTCCCTTGGAGGTAAAGAAGCTGACACTGGCACCGAAAACAAGATGTCCGATGTCGTGAAAACTAAGGATGGCATGGCGTTCAACATCGAATTCAAATCAAGGGTTCCAAAACTGCCACCTATCAAAATTAGGTCAACGTCTAATGTTGTCCAAAATGAAGAGCATGGAAACTGGAAAGGTATTTATTCTCTCATTTTCTTTCTCAGATAGATATGGTACCAAAGAACTGTAAAATTATACATTTTAGTGGGGTCAAATTTTCGTGGTTTTAGGAAAAACTCTTGGTTCGTGAGGTTTTGATTTCGTGGATGAAGAATTTTTGAGTAGTTATGTAACATTTTACATTTCGTGGTGGACATGAATTCGTGGGTCTCTCAATCGAAAACAACTTAAGTTAAACCCCCTAGAAAATTTGTGATTTCACAGTATTTGAAATTAATTAAGTCATATGATTTTTATTTCAGATGAAAAAGAGAAACTCCTGAAGAAGAAGCAAGACAGGGCAAATGCTAGACGCAAAGAAATTTTGAACAAGAGGATAATGGCCGCCCAAAGACCAAAGACAGCAAGAACTAGAGATGGATCAACAGTTTCCAGCTTCCAAGAGCATTAAAGAAAATATGTCTGGAACAAATTTTTCAGCTGTTTGAAGTTAATTAGATCTATATAGGAATCAAAAAGATACCAAAACTGTTAATCGTGATTTGTATTTTATTCAATGTGTGTTCTTTATATACCTCACCTTTGAACTTCCTTCAAGAATTCATCCCATATGAGTATCCATATATATGGAACTTGCATTGCTGATGAAATTCATCGAATTGGATTTAAAAACTGATCTTCAATGAGTTATGAAGAACGCATGCTGGAAAGTCCGTCAAACAGTTAGTTTACGATGTCTCTTTGTGCATGTATGTATAAGGCTCCCAATGAACGGGATTCCTTGTTAAATTACATGTATTTTAGATTTTCAGTACTACATCCACTTAAATCATATTCTTTCTTCTTTTTTTTTTTTAATTTCTTGTTAAATCATTTAAAAACGAAATTAAAGAAGATTGAATACAAAAAAAAGTTTTCATTTGTGGATTACAATAAGTTATATACAATGTACTAGTACTTACCGTCTAAAGGCTGAATTTTGATCTGTTTATTTTGATGTTATTCAATAATAAAAAAAATTTCTTTTAAAAAACAAAACATTAAAAACTCTCTTTGACTATTGTAACATCAACAGAAATTCGAGTATTCATAGTAATTAATTTATGGTAACGTAATTTGATCTGTATAATAAAATGACATATAGTACGAAAGCTTGTTTTCTTTGGCTTTAACTGAGTAGTGGACAACAAAAATTAAATATACACCAAATATACATGGTATATCTGCAAACAAACTGAGATTTTTGTGAGCTGAAAGATACATTGGGAATGATATTAAGCCAGAAATCCATTTCCTGTTTTCTATACTTAATTCTAGAAGTAACGCCAGCACCACTTAACTGCACATAAGCCTGAGTTGATGAATCAAATGGAGGCCATTCGGGGAGGTTGTCATAGTTAGGGTCCCTGAAAAATTCAAAATTCTTGCATTCATTAAAAAAAATAATTTCAATAGTTACTTTTGACAAAAAAAAAATTCTATAAAGAAAAAGAAGGAGGAAAAAATACTAAACTCACTTACCCAGTTTTAGCAAAGTTTGACCAATATTTCCTCATAATGGCTGACAACTTCAAATCAGAATCCTTCGTCTTATATTTAGAATTGGGATCCACAAAAGTTAAATTTTCTACGAAAAACAGAAACATTAAATCGGTGGTATGGGCAGAGCCTTTATACCAAGATGGTGGAGGAGATCCCATGAAAACTGGTAGCCCCTCCGTAAGAATAAACTGGTATCTTTTCGAGTTTGTCGTGTTTCCGGAAGAATGAGTGAATAGAGTTGACAAACTGGGCGCAATGAAAAATAAATCTGAGTACCAGTGTAATACGGAAAGACTTTGAAGAGTTATGTTGTCATTTCCCCCATACTCCTTGCACATCGCATTCATTACGCTAAGTTTGCCATTAAAATGATCAGTTACTGCAGTTGGAATGAGATGGTTGCAAAAGAAATCTCTAGGAATGCCTTCAGTCATGTTTAATCCGTAAGCAGTGAGAACATCGAAAGTTTCTAGGTACAGCGACCCTTCCATGTCGCAGTTGCCAACCATTACATCCAAAGATTTGAAAAACATATATTCCTCTGATAATGGGCTTTTAAACATTTTGTTGGGCGACATTTTGAAAAGTTCGCCGTCCACTACCGGTGTAAAGACATTGGTTATGAGTCTGTGAATGGAACTAAGCGAGCCTTTAGCAAAATCGGATACTGCATGCTTTATAGAATCAACTGGTAAGTTCCGCATGCATTTTAGAACAAGTTCTGGGTTTGTGTTCATGTTACATCCGACTTTGTCAGTGATTATTTCTGAGGATTGCCTCGTACTTCCAATGGCTAAAGGAGAATTAGCCGTCCCGCTTTGCAGAATGATTCGATGAAACAAACCTTTATTTTTCGGTATAAGGGACAAGAGTCCCACGCTGAAACCTCCGGCTGATTCTCCGAACAAAGTTATTTTTTCCGGGTTTCCACCATAATCCTCGATATTATCTTTCACCCACTGGATGGCTAACATCTGATCCCAGAGTCCATAATTCCCTTTGATAAAAACTTTATCTAAACTGTAGAAACCGAATATTCCAAGTCTGTAGTTTAACGTCACAACAATGACGTCACCACTTAAAGCAAGCATACTTCCGTCATAGTAACTTCCATAACCAAAAATGTAGCCGCCTCCATGGATCCATATCATGACTGCTCTTTTGTGCGCATGCTTCAAAGGATAAGGGATGTAAATATTTAAGTTCAGACAATCTTCGCTCACTTTCCCGCCGAAGTTTGGATCATCCAAGAGTTGCATACAAACAGGTCCCAGAATTGTTCCATTTCGGGTTTCATTCCAGGCCCCGTACGGTTTTGGTTTTGCAAATCGCAGTTCATCAACTGGGGGCATTGCGTAAGGTATGTTTAGAAATTTCATAATCCCTGCTTGTGTTCCATTTAATACATGTTCTCCCATGATGTCGCCAAGTTTTGTATGGTGTATGATATTTCTTATGTATTGTCCTAGAGAAAACGATAGGGAGTTAAGGATTATTACTCCACAAATGTTCATTTTTGTGACCTGAAAGATAAAAGAAGATAAAATTCACGTTAAAATATGAAAATATAATTTTTTTTTTCATTTTGTTATGCTCTTGTATGAGAAAAAGTTTTTACATTTGAAGATTAAATCAAATTTTAAGTTAAGTATTTTAACAATGAATTTCAAATTGTAATATTTTATGTTCTTTTATTCATACTGGTACAAATTTATATAGGTCTTTCTTGTATTTTCAAATCATTATTATTTCATTTTATTCCATGTTTTGTTATTGAATTCTAGAACGTAAACTATAATAAACTATAGCTCTAGTAACTCTTTTTAAATTTCTCAAGAGATAGATTACATAAATTTATCATCTAAAAAAAAACACAAACTCTTTGATGACGGTTTTTGATTTGATCTATGGAAAGAAGCTAAGCAACAATCTGAATAAAATCAAATCTTTGTTACGCTCCGAAATTCTGATAGTGAGCAAAGATGTGGTTTTAATCAAATTGAGCCAAACATAAAAAATATTTACATGTACAGTACCTACATATAAACTGCATCTCACATGTTGTTTCCGCTTTGGTAACATAATGTAACGATTTTGACTGTATATATATTTAAAATGTGTGTTTATCTATTGGTGGTTTTAATTTATTCCGACCGGAAGATTCATTCATCATTATTGTATGTTTAAACTACATTTAAACTTGTTGTACATCATTGTTTTACCTTATTTAAAAGTCATGCTGTCATTTCATATGTATTGTATACTTTCGTTTTCCATTACTTCCGGTCGCGGGAAAATATGTACAGGTTTTACCTAGAATTTGTCGTGTTTTCGCGTTTTATAACGTCACGTTGGGTCATGCTATGTCACTTTGTTTTAACGTTTAGTTTTAGAAGTCAGTTGGGATTTTTAGATGATAGTGGACGGACGTAAATTTTTTTAAGGAGTTATTTTGAATAGTCAGCCCAGAATTGTGAATTTATTTTACTCAATTTGTAGTCGTTACCAGACTATTTGTGAGATGTCCAGGTAATTTAATTGAAATTTGTGATAATTTATTTATTATTTATAAAATTTCGTATTAGAAATTTACTTTATCTGAAATTTAAGGAATCCGTGGAATTTAGCAAGTGACGTTGTGTGACCATATTTTGAAATATAAATTGTTGTTAATTTATTGACTATCATTATTAAATTTTGGAATATCAGAATATAATTTTTGAAAACGTTACATTTTGGTGGCAGCGGTGGGATAGGATAAAATTATTTGTGCAAGAATATTTGTTATTCTTGATTTTCAATTGCTAGATTTTCCCCGGTGAAAAAAATGTCAGAATCCCGTGGTAGTAATGTGAACCCCAATGACAAGGGTGGGGGTGAATCAAATCCTGATATTGAAACTAAAGTGAATTCTATGCAGTCCCAGATTTGTGATATTTCTACGGTGTTACAGAAACTTACAAGGACTTTAGATCGTTTGGTTGACAAAGACCATGACATGACTGACTGTAGAAGTGAGTACAGTGATTACAGAACAATTGACAGAGTGAGTGAGCCTGATGGTCATAGACATACTCTGCCCAGTGACGCAAACCAGTCACAATTTTGTTCGTTTGATTCGCGAACACAGGTACACCCTCATAATATTTTAGATAGACCATCGGATTTTAATCCGTTCAGACCAAATTATGAAAATCAAAACCAGACTCGACAGACTGTCAGAGCAAAACCCGACACTTATGACGGCAGATCTAGTTGGACAGACTTTATCACTCAGTTCGAAATTGTATGTCGGTTAAATAACTGGTCCAGTGAGATTAAAGCCCTACAATTAGCAGCTTGTTTGAGAGGCTCAGCCAGAAGTGTTCTGACTGACCTTAGACCCCATCAGCTTGACGATTATTATGAGTTAAAATTTGTTCTCCAAACTCGCTTCGAACCAAAGAATCAAACTGAAATGTACCGCGCAGAAATGAATAGTTGGTATCGGAAAAGAGACGAAAGCCTCCCTGAATTAGCACAAGATATAAAACTATTGGCCAGACTTGCTTATCCCACAGCCCCGTGTGAAGTTAGGGATACTTTGGCATATAAATGTTTCCGTGATGCCTTACATGACCAAGATATGGGCGATTTGTCAGAGCGCGTCCGAAAATATTGACGAAGCGTTAAACCTTGCGTTGAAATTTGAAGCCTTCAAAATGAGCAGAAATCGGAAGTACACAAATACTCCATATTTGCATCGAGCAGGAGATTAGTGACCACAGCTATCAAGACCTGTATGTATGAAAATTCCCAGACCAATGTCTCGCGATCAGACCTCTCAAATCACAGAAATGAGACAAAGAAATGTTTCTATTGTGGGAAACTGGGTGATTTTAAAAATAAGTGTAGAAAACGCCAGTTTGATCTACAAGCGGGAAAATATTTCCTCCCAAAGAATGAACGACAGACCAAACTTTGCGGAGAGGTCCGAAACCTCTGAGATTATTCATGCACGTGATTGCGCTCACGGTCCTTTAAACGACCAGAGGCTGAGCCTGTAGGTCAAGTCTCAGCCTGTGATACTAAAACCCAAACTTGTTGTGAACCGAATGACAGTGATAGACCTAAAGAGCAAATATTTGAAATCAAAGAGGCCCGCAGTGATAGTTTATTTGTTGTTGCAAAATTGAATGATAGAAAAATAAATTGTTTGACTGATACTGGAGCCTCAGTTTCTGTATTACATAAACGAATTTTTTATGAAATTTCGGGGGATGTAAAACCGAGTTTGAATAGAAATTGTGGGAAATTGAAAGTGGCTGATGGTGAAATGATTACCCCGGCGGGAGCCGCCCAGATGACTTTTGTTATTGATGGTAAACCCAATAGCTATAGGATGTTAGTAGCCGATATTGAGGTACCCGCGGTACTAGGATATGATTTCCTGAGGGACAATAATTGTGAAATGAAACTTGGTGAGGGTACGCTCAAGTTAAATGGTGAATCGATTAGTCGTAGACTTCACAGCCAAATTCAGACCCTATTCAAACTGTCGTTGACTGAAAATGTGGTGATACCTCCGTTGAGCGAAAGGATAATTCCAACAAGAATTTTGGGTGATCAGCCATTTGGGAAAACGGCTGTTGTTACGGATATAAGTCCATCTGTGTCAAAGAAAGGAATTCTAGTCGGGAAAAGTGTTTTTGACCCTAATAAATCTGAAATACCTGTGCGTGTTGTCAATGTTTCTGATACTCCACAAACCATTTACAAAAATACGGTTACGTCAGAATGTGAGATAGTTCTTGAGAGTGATGTAGTATCATTTCAAAATCGATCTTGTGATAAAATGAATGCGCATACCTTGAATAACCTTGACCTTTTAAAGGTACCAGAAGACAATATGTCTGTTCCTGACCATATCAAAGTTGTTCTTGACTCATGTAAAAACAATTTAAGCGATGTAGAATTGACGAAAGTGTGCAATCTTCTGCGTAACTATTTAAGTGTGTTTGCAACCTCTAAATCGTCTTTAGAGGTTGCAAACAGATTGTGTTTTACACAAAATAAATACATAAAACAAGCTCCTAGACGTATACCCATGAACCAAAAAGAGAAAGTTTCGACGGAATTGAAACGAATGTTGGATGTTGGTGTTATTAACCCTCTAAATCTCCTTGGGCTTCCCCTATAGTCATTGTGCGCAAATCAGACGGCTCCATATTCTGTGTCGATTACCGTAAAGTCAATGAAGTCACATTAAAAGACTCTTATCCTCTGCCCAGAATCAATGACTCCCTAGACGTATTACGCGGATCTTCGTGGTTTTCTGTACTTGATTTACAGTCAGGTTTCTGGCAGGTAAAAATGGATCCGTCAGACCAATAGAAAACAGCTTTCGTAACAAATACTGGACTATACGAGTTTACCAAGATGCCCTTCGGTCTTTGTAATAGTTCCGCGACTTTTGAGCAACTCATGGAGAGTGTCTTAGCTGGATTACAATGGGAGACTTGTCTTGTTTACATCGATGATATCATCATCTTTTCTGAATTCTTTGAGACCCATTTAGATCGTCTTCGTGATGTTTCAAAGAAAGGTCAAATTTCTAGGACATATAGTGTCTGAACATGGTATCGAACCATGTCCCAGTAAAATTGAAGCAGTCAAGGATTGGCCCATACCCTTTAATGTGAAAGACCTAAGAAGCATTCTGGGAACCATTTCATATTATCGCCGTTTTATCAAAGGATTTGCTGACATTGCGAAGGCTTTGCATAAACTGACCGAGAAAACAGTTCAGTTCAGATGTACCAAAGAATGTGATATTGCTTTTCAGCGTCTTAAATCTGCTTTAATGACAAAACCTATAATGTCCTACCCAGATATGTTCAAGTCATTTATATTAGATACCGATGCTAGTGGCACAGCTATCGGTGCTGTTTCGTCCCAGGTTCATGAAGATGGAGAACATGTTGTTGCATATTTTACAGGTGCTTGTCCAAGCATGAGCGACAGTATTGTATTACCAAGAAAGAGCTCTTAGATGTTGTCGAAGCAATTAAGCACTTTCATTACTATTTATTTGGAACAAAATTTCTTGTTAGGACAGATCATGGTGCTCTTAGCTGGTTACGACGTTTTAAAAATCCTGAGGGTCAGCTAGCTAGGTGGATCCAAGTTCTTGATACATACAACTTTGACTTTCGGCATCGTCCTGGAAAACAACACTCTAATGCTGATGGTTTGTCTCGTCGACCATGCATTTCTTGTAAATTTTGCGAGAGACAAGAAGACAAAATCACTCATTCCAGCGAAGCTGTTGTCCATATGTCAACCCAAACGTCCTGTCTGGACTACGAATCAGTTGAGGATCAGCATCCAGTCAATGCGGTTTCTACAGTGGAACCCAGTTCAGTTTCAGGGGACGATAACCTTTCTTGGTTCCAGTCAAAGTCAAATGATGAACTCTCACAAGCCCAGAGACAAGATCCTGTTCTGAAACATCTCTTCTCCCTGAAAGAAAAATACAAAGATGAACCTCCTAAGTGGCATGAAGTTTCTCACCTATCCCCAGCCCTCAAATCATATTGGTCACAGTGGAAAAGAATTGAACTTGTTAATGGTGTTCTATACAGAAGATGGGTGGATGTTGATAAAAATTCTGAAAGACTGCAACTGTTGGTACCAAAATGTTCGCAGAGTGAAATCTTAACTTTGTTACATGACTCTTTGCTTTCAGGTCACTTAGGCATAACCAAGACCATACACAAAATTAGGGAAAGATTCTATGGGTCAGATTATATGTCCCACACCAGAAGATGGATTGAGAAGTGTACTGTGTGTCAAAAGCGTAAAACCCCTTCCAAACCAATTAGAGGAGCTAGGGTCCAATACAATGTTGGTGCACCCTTAGAGAGAATAGCTCTTGATATAATGGGCCCGTTGCCACAGACCCAGAAAGGACACAAATATATATTGGTTATTACAGATTATTTCACGAAATGGGCAGAAGCCTACCCTATGATAGATCAGGAAGCAAGTACCATTGCCGATTTCTTGATTGATTTCATTTGTCATTATGGTTTGCCTTTACAAATTCATTCCGACCAAGGGAGACAATTCCAGTCTAATCTTTTTAAGGAACACTGTAAAACCCTTGGGATTGATCAAACAAGAACCTCTCCTTACCACCCTCAAAGTGATGGACTCGTAGAGAGAATTAACAGGACAATTATTGATATGCTTAGTAAAACCATTATCAAAAGTCAAAGAGATTGGAACAGAAAATTACCATTTGTGATGCTAGCATACAGGTCCTCTATTCAAGAGAGCACTAAGGAATCTCCCTGTTTTTTGATGTTCGGTCGTGAACCCCTTTTACCGGTTGACTTATTGTATGGAAAATGCCAAGACCGCAAAATAGTGTCCGATTATGTACAAGACCTTGTAACAAAATTGTGGAATGTGCATGAATCTGCTCGTGAGAATATTTTGAAAGCTAGTGACAGACAAAAGAAATATTATGACCTAAAGACCAGTGACTAAACTTTTTCCCTAGGGGATGGTGTTTTTGTTATTTAAACCCAGTGAAAATTAAGGGGAAATCACCAAAACTTATGTGTAAATGGGAGGATCCCTACACTATAGTCAGAAAAGTGTCAGATTTGATCTACGATATTAAGACTTCTTCAACTTCCAAGTCAAAAGTTGTACATGAGAACAGATTGAAACCATATTTTGGGAGAATGAGAATGTGGTTTGTACCACCCAGTGATAGAAACACCCGTGCCCAGGGGACCCAAAATGACCAATAATAAAATAGTCACTCAGACCAAAGATTGAAATATTTACATGTAAATTTGTGTTGGTGAACTTTTGTATTTATTTATTTTTATTTATTATTAGTGTTAACAGATATCTTGGATACCTTGCTGCTCCCTCTGAGGAACCCCTGCATCAATGCGATGACTGTTGACGGAGGTTCTTTTCAAAACACAAACTGTCTCGTCACAGGAGGAATACCCATGGTGACAGAGTCTTCTGTTCCTTCTGCTACTATTGTGTACCAAAAACCAGGAAGTACCTACTAACAAAACATGAAGAAACTGTGCACCGGAGTAAGCCTGTCATTGAAAACAAAAGACCAGCAGCCAAGACACACCTACCAGAAACAGCTGTAAGACCGCCCTCTCCTGTGTACTCTGACGTTTCTTCTGCAGAGTCTCTGCATCAGGAGGACCCATTGGATCTGTTGGACTTCTTCTTGGATTTTTCTGGGATATCTTTTCCTGAATTGATGTCGTTTCAGGACCCCAAGGATCCCAAGACCTTTGTTCCTGAGTCTTTGGACACTCCTGCTTGCACTCCTGTGGAGCACGCATTCCCCGTTCCTGCAGTCACCTCCCTAGAAGAGCCTCTGGACCTCAGCTTACCATCTGCTGCCTGGAACAGTACCTGCTCTGACGGACCTGTAGGACTTTCCCCACCTGCCGATTTTTCCTTTTCTCCATCACATCCTTTCATCTACTTCCAGAATCAGTATTTACTTGCCAAGATCACAGTTAACGCAGCAACGCAGATGGGCTTTTCTTAAAGAGAATCTACATGACTTTGTATTTCACACTGAATGTATGTGTTATTGAACTGTTGTTGAACAGTTGGTACATCGGTTTCATGTTTACATAAATTGTTAATATTTGTAAATGTTATGAAGATTGTATTTATTGGTAAATTTATTAAATGTGTAAAATCATTTTTATCCCCAAGATTCGAGGACGAATCTTTTGTAGTGAGGGGGTGATGTAACGATTTTGACTGTTTATATATTCAAAATGTGTGTTTATCTATTTGTGTTTTAATTTATTCCGACCGGAAGATTCATTCATCATTATGGAATGTTTAAACTACATTTAAACTTGTTGTACATCATTGTTTTACCTTATTTAAAAGTCATGCTGTCATTTCATATGTATACTTTCGTTTTCCATTACTTCCGGTCGCGGGAAAATATGTACAGGTTTTACCTAGAATTTGTCATGTTTTCGCGTTTTATAACGTCACGTTGGGTCATGCTACGTGACTTTGTTTTAACATTTAGTTTTAGAAGTCAGTTGGGATCACAGGCACCTGACGTTACTTATTTTTCTTTTAATAAAAAAAAAATATACACATACCGAATAATAAACAAGGTATCCATCGAAATCCGCCATCTTGGATTTTCGAAGTAGGTCATCACTTGTATTTTCGTCTGAAACTCCGTCAAATAAACCATATTCTTTCTTTGGCCAGTCTTTCGAGGTCTAAACTTACGGACACTGCAGCCAGAAAGGCGCATCACACTTGCAAATATTGAAAATCCCTCGTCAAACTCGACCTACTGCTTCAACATTCCGAGAAATCGCCAAAGGGGGGCCGGAAGTTTACATCAATATGCTAATGGGAATTCCGTATTTGTCAGTTTTGTGGGAACATCACTCGGCCTTTTCCGTCAAGTCGAGAAAAAACCTCGGATGTAATTACTTGGACTCGGTCACGTGTCACGTGACAATTAAAATGGCGGCGCCCATATGCACGTTTTGTGGCCGAATTCAAAGAAATCTTCAGAGGGTAACCGGCACAAAACGTGCATACGAAAAAGATATTGAGAAAATTTTAACTGACGCTTTATGTCTCCAAATCAGTTTCACATTTGCGTGTAAGATATGTGTCCCATGCCTTACGTTATGTGAAAAATTCTGTGAGTTTAAAAGAAAGGTCAAAGGCAATACAGAGTTGTTAAACAGTTTGGCAATTTCACCGGCTCTTATGTCTCCTTCAACACCTAAGGGACCTACTCCAAAACGTCGTCGGATGAACACGCCCTTAAAGGTAAATTATTTTTATTATGTCATGTGCTAGATTAAAGGCAAATATGCACTGATATGATACTTTATAGTACTAATGGAAAAACAGAACATACTAGTATGGGTATGGTCAGAGTATATCAAACAAATCATTTTTTATTGTTGGCTATTAACCATGTTAACTTCATTATTTTATGACAGAGTATAGCTGAGGTCAAGCCTACTGAAAAAAAAATTTCATCAAGGAGAAGTATTGACTTTGCTCATGATCATGGCTATAGCCTTCAAACTGAGGGTACGAATTGAAATTTCCATTATTTGAATATATTTTCTTATTTGAATTTTTATTTTAATTTTTTCAACTGAATGAATTCTTTAGTAGAATCTGTTGGAGAGACATTAGCTAAGAAAATCCACAGCAATTCAACTCCAAGAAAATCTGTTGCTGAGAAAATACACAGCAATTTAACTCCAAGGAAATCTGTTGCTGAGTGGCTAAAGGAAACTTGTAATCCTGGCTATAGCCTTCAAAATGAGGGTATGAAATGAAATTTCCATTATAATGCCCCTCTTTGAAGAAGGGAGGGCATATTGCTTTGCTGCTGTCTGTCGGTAGGTCTGTCTGAGGGTTGACCAAGTTTCCGTTCATTTTCTTTGCAGGGGTTGCACATACTGCAATGAAATTTTGAAATTTGGTATACAGATTTATCAGATGAATATCTAGGTCAAGCTGGGTACGATTGTGCCATTTTTGACAGAGTTATGCCCTTTTGGACTTAGAAAAATTCCAATTAGGGGGAGGGGACATAAGTGTTTTACAAACATCTCTTGTTTGAAATGTATTTTGTTAAAAGGTTTCTGATTACAACTCTCTCAAAGTATCATGATACAATATATTTATATTTTTTCAACTGAATGCATTCTTTATTAGAATCTGTTGGAGAGACACTAGCTAAGAAAATCCACAGCAATTCAACTCCAAGGAAATCTGTTGCTGAGAAAATACACGGCAATTTAACTCCAAGGAAATCTGTTGCTGAGTGGCTAAAGGAAACATTATCCAAAGGTACGCTTTTTTCAAAGTAAAAAATAAAAATGAAAAAAATTGCAAACATGACAGTATGAGATATCTTAGAAGGAAAAAAAAGAGAACTATGTTATTTATTAAAGTATATGTAAATATTTGCAGTTGATGAATCAAATGAAGAGCAAAAGGTAAAGAAAGAAATAATTATACACCATTTGGCTGCCCTTCAGAAATTAGCCTTCAATGGCGCTAGTGTACTGTTCAAGAAATCTCCATCAGTGCTATGTGATTCAACATTATCTGAAATTGTTGATGAAATGAAGAACCATCTCCCATTTCTGTACAGTCTTCTGAATGTTATGATTGGAGTAAGCGGGTCAAAGACTGGTACCATAGCCTTGATTTATGCCATGATATTACATAGCAGGAATAAGCAGGCTTCAAGAATGCAGAGGATCATGTCAACTTTTCTAATGAGTTGTAATGCCAGCAACATGGTAATCAACCAATACTTGTATATTTAAGAATCCTTTATATTTACCTTTGATTTACCTTTAAGGGCATGATAAAGAATTAATTTCATGTACATGTATTTAGAATGATCTGCCCTTAGATCTAAACTAAAATAAATTTAAATAATCTACTGTGTGGACTACCTAGTTTATGATCAATTCAAGCATTTAACATTTTACTAAGCCAAGACAACTTAACTGAACATTTTTTTTTGCATTTTTTTCTAAGTACATGTATTCTGATCTTTATTTAGTTAATGACAAGACTAAACAAGTTTCATCTCACCCTGAGTGGAGACAGTAAGGTAAACCTTATCAAGGACTATGCTAATTATAATGAACACTTAGTGATTAAGGCAGTTGCAGCTGGAGAAGATGGAAAATTAAATGGTGACAACCTTGATATTTTTGTTACAACCAATGATATCAGAATGACAAACCACAACAAAGATTACCACTTCTTTGCCACTGATTGGACACCATACAGGGTCAAGCAACAAGATTTCAATGAACATGCTGGAGTGCAAGAGGCCATTGACCGTACCATTGATTTGGAACCCACAACTGAAAATTTTTTGGTGTCAGACAATGAAAATAAGAAATTTGTTCATTATCTAGCACAGCTTCTTGGTAGAGAAATGTCTAAAACCTGTACAAACTTTAAGTGGCTGGAATCTGTAGTTCCCAAACACATTGAGCATTCTTTGTCAGATATTATGTCACGAAAAACTGTTTCTTACCGATTACCTATTCTCCTTAAGAATGAAGCAAAGTACGATGACTGTATTCAGATAATGGAATCATATGTTACAATGGTAACAGACTGGTACAACAAAGCCGGCAGAGGTTTGGCCATCAGTTGAAGACTGTTGAAATGTTGCCAGTTTCTTGGAGTTTTGTTTCATGTTAGTTTGAATTGAATATATTTTATTTCATTTTGTTTTTGCTCTAGTTTAATTTCAGTATTCAGACATCATTCTAGACTTTTCTGCAAGAATCTTCGCAGACTTTTTCCCTTCATATCTAACATTGTTAAAATACACCAAAAGCATAAGCATAAAAATATCTTTTTTAGCAATTCTGAACAAGATTCAACCTTTGTAAATTAAAGTGAGCAAATACAATGTTGATTTTTTTGCTTGTGTTTTTGTTATTGAAATTATGTATTTTGAAATGGAATGAGTAATGAAATTAATATTTATTAGAACTATTAATGGACTATATTAATTCATTTCATTCACATAAGGGGGGGGGGGGGTGTAGATTTAACTATTTACTAAAGATAAAGAAACTTTGGATACATGAAAGCAGAAATGTGTTTAACATGTCTCTGGTGAAATCATTAATAAGATTTAGTTTACAAGTACATGCAAAAAAAAATATTCAAGGTCATCATTAGAATTAATAAGAATTTATTCATGTAATATGACCTTCGTATGTATTTAACAGGTGCTGAATTGACCAATTTGAAAGTGCCAGTAGGTGGAGACCAACTTACCCGTGTTCGTTTGCAAGGTGCTAAGTCTCTTCGTGCTGGTTGTCATACTGCTCGTGAAAGACTGGACATTCTATTCCCAGTGGTTGTGGAACTGTTCCATACAGTTATGGATTTTTTGGAGGTAAAAAATAAATGCAAAGATAAGGACAGGCCTATGGTTGATACACCCATGCCCTAGGTGGTTCATTTTTAAGCTGATATACATTTGGCTATTCTTTTAACTACAGTTTCGTAAAAGTGCACATGCATATACATGTATGTTTAGTAATAATTGAGGCTTTTTATACATGATCCTTAAACTTAATTAATAATTTGTCCAAAATTAGGTCCACAGTAATCGCTTTATTTTTGTCAGACAATATCTTCCATAATATTTTTTACCTAAAAGTTTCTTGGGGATTGAGGGACACATCTATACATATACATGTACTAGTAAAATTTATCTTATTTGCTTTATGAAATTTTAAAAAGCCTTGGTAAAATACTTTGTTTTTGTATTTCAGAAGATGATCAAAAAATTCATGAAGAAAAATGGAAGGGACATAGGTGCATTGCAGAACTTAAAAGTATTAATCCAGAGGTCAAGTGTGAATGGCAATGTGAAAAGTAGATATGCAGCACATGAGGACTTCTCTATGCTTGTAGGAAGAAGTTATTTTCTGGAATATGCCTTATCATACTTTGGTATGAACTCCTTAGATGACATTCCTCGCAAACACATTCCAGAAAACATAAAAAACTGTCATCAGGCAAAAAAGGAAAGCATCTTTCAGACAAATTTTAATGATCTTGCAACTGGCATCCTTGGAAAATGCAAATTTGAACCAGTACGTGTACTCACTCACTTACTACAGTGAAAACTGTTTAATCTGACACTTATGCTGCTTCACTGTGAATTTTGACCCTTATTTCAATTCCCATAAATTTTTTTTACTGTTCTTTTATTTTTTTCACACTGTGCAATCTGACACCATGTTTTTTCACATCACAAAATTTGTATCCCAGTGCATGTCAGATTAGACAGGTTCCACTGTTTTATCATTTTTTGAAGTCTTTTTTTCCTTCATTTTGATTATTTAACAGATAACTAGTAATCATCTAAATGTTTGAAATTCATTTAAGGAAAATTTATTTTTTAGCCCAGTAAAAGCATTTTTGTGAATGGAGTCGAGACATCTATCCCATTAGCTGCTGATAAAATTGTGCTCAACTTGAACAGTAGTGGTGGCATTGTTCAAGTCCCTATTGAGGTGAAATCCCTAGCAAACCCTCTATTGCTGAAGTTTCCTAATGGAACCAGTATCAATATCAAGAGCAAAGGAGATGATGATCTATTTAACTATGCTAAGCATTACCTTCATTACTTTTCCATATTGCTGTGTATTAAAGATGCAATTCGAGAAGGAAACATTTTTATAATTAATATTGCACTCAAGATGATGCTACCGTGTTTCTTTGCGCACTCAGAACTATCTAAATACTTTGTGGAGTGTATTCATTTTATTTTGCTAACAGAACATTTGCTAGAGCCAAGGCTTGCACTTCAAGTTAGAATCAGCTCCTTAGTCAACCCAAATGGTGGCCCAGGTGCCAATAAACCTGCCGACATGGAAAAAGAAAATCAAGTGAGGGACTTGAAAAAATTAATCAAAGGACTTGGTGCTAATAAAACAGAAAACTCCATCATTAACTTGTCTAAAGCAGCACCAATTGTAGATAGTATTACCGAAAACATTGATGTGCAAATTACTTGTAAATCTTTGAACACCTGTCATAAATCTCGACCAGATATTCCTGATTTAGAAACTCTACTTGCACACATACATCAACTTCAACCATTTCAGTATACTGAGGGGAGGTCATTGAATTCTTTCAAATTCTTTAAAGCGAGTGTTTACGATGAACTTTATGACAAGAAGGATAGATTCATAAAATTTATAGACTCTGTGGTATGGCGTTCAAAAATGAATTTCAATGTACCTGTTGAGGATGAATCTGGGTCATCAGATGAGGAGCAATAAACACATAACATTGCATATTAGATGGTACATGTATTTTAATAACTTTGTATCAATTATGTGTAAATGTATAAATTTTATGAACAATGTAACAATATCAATTCTTTAAGTTTTGACATATGTAATATATATTTGCAACAAAAGTATGTACATTAAAATGTGACCTCTAGGTAAATGGTATTTATTGTTTACAGTTGGAACAACAGAGTTCCTTTGGTCCATTATAAATACATTTCTCAAATCCAAAGTACTTTAAGAGATGTAGTCTTAGACACCCATTATTGTTAAGAACAAAATCCCTAACAGCAGAATCTAAACCTTTACGATTCGGGGCAATGTCATTGTTGTTGTAGTACATAATGGCCTGGGAGGGTAGTCCAGTTCTACCAGCCCTTCCGATTTCCTGCAAGTATTTTTCAAGAGTGGTTGGTGGCCTGAAATGAATTACTCTTGTCACAGATGGTGCATTCAGCCCCATGCCTAGAGCAACTGTAGCAAAAATGAGTCTTACTTTAGGATTGGGTTTTGTAATCTCATGCACAATGAAGTTTTTCATGCGGGTAGCATAGTCTTTATGATACTGAGCAACTATTCTATTCTCGGGTATAGCCTCTTTCCCACAGTATGCCTTTGATCCAAGAATTTGGTAAATATACATATAGCTATAGCCAACACTCTCTAAATTATCACAGTAAACTAATGTTACCGGAAAGGCTTCCAACTGAACAAGGATTTCACTTCCAATTGTTTTTAAAATTTCATCATACTTCTCATACTTTCTGATATTTGGTAGTCTCTTCCGTATTTCTAAATAAATATTTGGCCGATCAGGATTAGCAACAATGAAATGAGTGTTCTGGAACTCTAAGAGACTACTTAACAATTTCAGATCCGATGAAGTTGCAGTTGCAGTGAGTGCCAAATGTGGAACTTTGGAAAATATGGATGTTAACTGTCCCAGCTCTGAAAAGGCTTTACGGAAATCTTTCCCCCTGTAAAGATATTAAAAACAAATTTGACAATAACAAAGCTGAAAAACAAACAAATAACAAATAAACAATGATCTAACCAAATTATATATTCTTTTTAGTTTACACACCATTCTGAGACCATGTGTACTTCATCTATGACTGTGCAACACACTTGTCTTTGGTATAGTGGACTTCTAAGAATTCTGCCTATTTCTTTATTTTTAAGTAGTGTCTCGGGATGGGCATAAAGGAGGCAGAATTCCCCTTTCTTTATTTCGTTAATGGATATGTTTGAGAACACCACATCCTCCTTTCCTTCTGGATCCTCATCCTCATCATTGTCGTTATCCATCCTATAAATGCAATGAAAATGATTCCATAAAAATCATTTTTATAACAGATGCTGTACCTATTAAATTGTATGTGTGGAAAAATGGTATGAATTTATATGCTGTAAATACTCATGTAGCATATATTTTAGATGGTTTTGAGTGATTACCCGGTAGAACTTGATACAGTCAAAAGACATAGTGTACCCTAACAAAACCACCTAGTCAAAAAGTCCTCCTACTTTTAATCAATGCAATCCCAAATTTAATTCATTGTGCCTCTTAATTGCAATTGCACAGAAAAAGACACATCTTCAAGACTGATCTCTTCCTGTATTGTCATATTCGTTAAATGCATCACATCCTGAGAAAAATGTTAATTGAAAAAATAAGTTAAACTAAAGCTTAATAAAGCTACTTCGGGTAGGAAAAAAGGCTGTGTAGATAATTTAAGTTAAGAAGCTAAATCTAATGATTGTACCTGCATATAATACAAAAGTATTTAATCTATTATATTAAGCAGTACAATCTTTTGATTAAGCTTTTATTGTATTTATTGCTTGGTTATTGAGCTTTATTAAGCTATTAAGAATAGCGGTCTTGTAACAACATCATTTTACTGTAAAATTCTATAAGGGGCGCTTTGACCAAATTTTAGAGGGGACGCTTTGACCAGGACGGTTTTATTAGGGGGCACATTGACTGGATTTCATAAAAGAAATCTAAGCAAAAGTTATTACAAACAGAAAAAATATATTTTTTAAATACATTTAGAAATTTTAATAATATTCAAATATTTTTTTAAGTAGAATTTCTTCAAGATTTTAGACAAGTAACAACTTGAGAATATGCTAATAGATATATATATATGTATATAGCTGCAGATCTGTAGCTCTCCGAAAAAAAATTATTGATAGACCGGAGAGCTACAGTGCCACCCATTGAAAAAACTGTATATTTATTGCGCACAAAAAAGTGCGCTGGATTCTTGATTAATTTTTCCAAATTCTTACCTCAATTGCAAAAAATGGAAGATTTCAAAAAATTACTCTCACCTCTATCAAGTTCTCTCGTAGTTGACATCTGAACGAAGCATATTGGACCAAATTATCTTTGAAATCAAAATGGCAGTATTATAAATAAGCGAAATGTCCGATGATCGCAATATCAGGGCCAGCAGGACTATTAACAACAATTATGAGGAATGTTTTGTTGTGGAAAGAGTCATTGAATACCGGTATGTTAGGAACACATGATTAGTAATATTTTGAGATTACACTTTAAAAACATTGAGAAATAAATCGAGAACCGAGCGCATTTGTGCGCAATAAATATACAGTTTTTTCAATGGGTGGCTCTGTAGCTCTCCGGTCTATCAATAATTTTTTCGGAGAGCTACAGATCTGCAGCTAATATGTATATTGAATATTTCATTTGAGTCCATTTCATTTGGGTCAATTGTGCTTCCATTTGGGTAAATTGCCACACTCGAGATCAGTTAATTTAGTTGACAAGATAAAGCTAATGCAGGATACCTATCCTTGCCTAACTGCATACTAGTGCACAGTTACTCAAACAATGAAAATTCATCTTTTTCCTTAAAAAGTATTCCAAGGCTGCAAATTACATGTACATGTAAGCGTATGTGTAAACTATCTTTGACTTGGATGACTAGTCCTTCATACATGTACATGTATAGTCCTAGTCATATGACTTGTGACTTTTTGTCTACTTCTAAAAAAAGGATTGGATAAAAATTCTGAAAACCTTTATATACACAATATATACATTAATTACATATAGCTATAGCCAGGTATTTTGAATATAGCTTTATAAATAGCTAGATACATATGTGTTGGAGGGCAACTGTTCTAACCTTTTCACTTTGATGTGGCAGGTCACAACTTCCGTTCCTTGAACGTCCAAGAAACAAGCGTCTATGCCTTTCTTTTTAAGGCCCATCAGTTGATCTTGCATTATTGCATTAAGGGGGGCAACAACTACCACTATTGGCAAAGTTGCCGAGTCTCTTTTCTTCTGCACCATAAATGGAAGTATTTGGAAGATCACACTTTTGCCATATCCCGTTGGAAGAACACACACCACATCTCTCTCTTCAAATAAAGCTCTGAGAGCCTCTTCTTGTTTTTCTTTTAATGCGTATATCCCAACTTTCTCCTTGGCATATTCTATACAAGCTTCGAAAGTCGCCATCTTTGTTTACATGTGATACCACGTGTGAAGATTTCTCTAATAACAAATACTTTCCGCATCAAAACATCAAATATATATACAGAACAGGTAAATTTAAAATATCTTATATTTAATTGGCAATAACAATGGCAGGAAGATTATTTTTTATGTTACTATTTTGTTAGTATTTTGTTATGCGTAGTCTGTAATACGCCGGAGGCGATTCACATTTTCTCCATGAAAATCGTTGTATTCATACGTCTACATCCGAGGTTTTTTCTCGACTTGACGGAAAAGGCCGAGTGTTGATCACAGCCCAGACTTGTGTTGGGGAATCCTTTGAATCTAGCAAGTGACGTTGTGTGACCATATTTTGAAATATAAATTGTTGTTGATTTATTGACTATCATTATTAAATTTTGGAATATCAGAATATAATTTTTGAAAACGTTACAATAATTTTTAATGAGCAAGAATTCCTGGTAAGGACAACAAATACAATGAATACATGTTCATTTGCTTTAATAGCATCTACATAGTTGAGTTGCTGATAATTTATGAGAAATACTTGGTCCCTGCTATTTAATTGAGTTGGGTTAGCTATTCAAAGAGCAATTTTGGTCGGGATCGAAACCTCTTGGATTGGGTGCAAAAGACGTAAGTCTACTAATTAGGCCTAATAGGAGATTTGAGGTATCGCCAACGGTGAGACGGTGAGAAAGTCTCAAAAATCTTTACTCATTGACAAACTCGTTCCCTTGAAGTCTAGTGTAAGAAAGAAAACTCCAAAAATCTGCAGAATTGTAAAAATTCTAATTACCCCCCTTTAATGATGTTAAATATAAAAACGTAACTTCAATATTAATCTTGTAGTATTTCAATCTGATCAATTCGGAAAAGGGCGAGGTGATCTTATTGGCTGGTTTTTTTTTAATAAGAATTGACTTCAATAAAAATTTCATATTTTCAGCTTCAGCTTATAAGTTTTACAATAGTTTTTTTTTAAAGCTAAGCAAAACATTATGTTGATCCAATGCATCAATGATTTTGTTCTTATAAGTATCCCCGTTATTGTCGGAAAAGCAATATATTTCGTAAATGTCGGAAACGAAGACTATAAAATGAAAGAAATGAAAAGTATATCAGGAAGGGAAAAAGCCAACCAGTGTCAAGACCTTTTTATGCGCCCAGATCGAAAGATCCGAGGCGTATATTGTTTTTGTCCTGTCTGTCTGTGTTTCTGTTTGTCTGCAAACTTTAACCTTAGCCATAACTTTTGAACCATGAACGCTAGAGACTTCATATTTGGTATGCCTACTCCACTAATGAAGCTCTTTCAAATGACACCAAGGTCAATGACCTTGTGACCTTGACTGTGACCTATATGCTAAAAATAGGAGTTTTTTTTGCAAACTTTCACCTTTGCCATAACTTTTGAATGAAGAAAGATAGAGTCTAATATTTGACATGCATACTCCACTAATGATGCCCTTTCACATGACACCAAGGTCAATGACCTTGTGACCTTGATTGTATCTTATATGCTAAAAATAGCCTTTTTGATACTTCGCCATAACTTTTCAACCATTAAAGACAGATACTTCATATTTGGTATGCATACTTCACTGATCAAGATCTTTCAAATGACACCAAGATGAATGACCTTGTGACCTTCACTGTGATCTTTATGCTAAAAGTATGTAGGGTAAACTGATCGCAAGTCGAACTTGACCGCGAGTCGAACGCATTTTTAACCTCGCCTACTCCTTTCGATAAACAATAAATGGTAGGCAACTCTTGATTATCTGGCTTCTTTTTTACCCATCTAATAAATGAGAGTTGTCTTTCTTAGGTCGAACTCTTATGTTAATAGTTCTAGATGCCGGGAAATTTAAAGATTATTTGTCCGAATTTTCTGTCGTAAATGAATTATCGATGCTGTTTCAAAGCTCCAAACAATTACCAAATAAGCTAATCAATATTTTGAAATACAATTTCATGCATATAAATGATTTTAAAATCTGTTTTTATATAGATTTGGATGCTCAATTCGCAAATTCATCAAATAAACTTCATTTAAATTAATATTAAAAATGATATGAAGTCGAACACCGAAAATGATCGCAAGTCGATCAGTGTTCGACATCAAAAACAGTAGTAAAACTCCTCAAATAAGAGGAAATGCACGCTTTATAAGAAAAAAATAATTAATTATTGGAATATATAAATGAATTAACTTTTTTAATGAATATTAGAAGATATAAATAATTTTTATTTTACTCATAAGTAATTAGAAATACCAAGAATACTTTAATTATTCGACGATGCAGACCACATTTTACGTGTTCAAAATTAAGGACATTAGGTTATTTCTTTTGGCAGTGATGCCTAAAATCAAGTTTTAAAAAAATTGTGGTTAAATCCTCACCCTAGGAAAGAATTTTCCTTTTTAAAGTAACATAAAAAATCTTTGATTCTTTTTTTTTTCTCTATTGCCCCCTCCCCCGCCCTCTGGAGAATAAATTCTGGCCGGACAATATTTTCATTGCTCTCCAGAGCCCAAGAATGTAACAGAAATTTCCTAATGCCAGTTACACGACAGTGAAAAGACATACATAGCCGAGTCATGAATTAAAAAGATCCTTAAGCACGAAAAATATATTCGAATATAAATATTTAACTGTACTTTTAGTTTGAAAATGTTTACTGACAAGTTTAGCTGCTACCCTACCCTAATAGTTTATGTATCCTGCTTTACGCGTTTTTTAAAACTTGGACCCCCCCCCCCCCCCACACACACACACACACACACTTCTGATATTTCCAGGGTGGTGTTTGTGTAGTACTAGATATATCCTGTTCGCCGATTTGGATTGTAAGTATAGATTTTATTTGTTTATTTTTGAGATCGATGGCGTTTCCTATCTTCACCTTTTTAAGGCAAGTTGTCATGATCTTCCCTTAAAAAAAAACAACGATGTTGCAAGTATATCTGCGACAGTTCCTAGGGAGGGGGGGGGGGGCGAATCGAGATATGTTTAGACTGATCTCAAGAAAACCGAGGCCGTGTCAAAAGATGAACATTTCAATCATTAAAAGAAAAACGAAAACATTGTAAACTTCTATGCACTATTGTTTTTCGTTTTATTTATTCTGGTTTTATAAATATATACTTGAATTGGTTTTGAGGCAATATTGTTTAAATTTAATTATTCCTACCATAAAAGTTGTTGAATAATGAACAAAGTGAGTCTTGACCAGTGCTTTTAAAAATTCGTCTGAAACAAATAGGCCTACTTTAAACAACGGTGAACAAAACTTTTTAATTTTTTTTGCTGCGACTTCAAATTAGGTTTTCAGACATGTTTAACGGAAAATAAAAAAAAAATGTAAAACTGTGAAAAAAAACATACAGAGAGAAATAAAGTATAACCAACAGAAAGGCGGAGGATGACTGAAAAATTGTGCAGTATAAAGTTAACCAGTCTACATTGATATAAACATATTTTACTAAATGTTTGGTATGAATCTAGGGAAAGACTAGAGAGATTTCTTAAAATAATTAAAAATCTCTTCAGAAATATGCCTATTTATTTTAATATCATTAAAAGCAGTTTCCACCATTAAATATGTAATTTGTGCGACTCGGAATAAATGGCGTTCGACTTCATATCTAGCTGTTCGACTTGTGGTCGAATGTGTTCGACTTGCGATCTATTTAGTACCTCGGGCTTTTTCCTTTAATAACAACTGTTTCATTCGGTTGCGACAGTAAACAGCATGCTAAAATGACACTTTAGATAAACATTTCGATACATCTCCGGGTTTATCCCACGCATAATGCACCGTGTTGTCAACCTCGACAGCGAATATAAATAGGTGTTCGACTTGCGGTCAGTTTACCCTATTTTAAATTTGTTGCTGACGGGCGCATTGTGTTTCACAAACCCATCTTGTTGTCCCCCGCTTTCGCGAAAGCGAGGGGACATTAAATCTCATCCGTCTGTCTGTCTGTCCGTCTGTCCGTCAGTCTGTCCGTCAGTCTGTCCGTCACAAAAACTTTAACCTTGCCCATAACTTTTGATCTAGTGGAGCTATGACTTTCATATTTCACATGTGTATTCCTTGTGACAAGACCTTTCTTTGGATACCACCAAATTTGACCTTTTGACCTTGACCTTGGAGTTTGACCCACTTTTACACAAAAATTCCAAACTTTTACTTTGGCAATAACTTTTGAATAGTAGGTACTAGGACTTTCATATTTCACTTATATATTGTTTGTGGCAAGACCTTTCATTGGATAACAACAACCTTGACCTTTTGACCTTGACCTTAGGGATTTACGTACTTATAAAAAAACTTTAACCTTGACCATATCTTTTGAACGGTGAGGGCTAGGGCTTTCATACCTCACATATGTAATCCTTTTGGGAAGACCTTTTATTGGATACCAACAACTTTTACCCTTTGACCTTGACATTGGATAACTACTTTTTAGAAAAACTTTAACTTTGGTCACAACTTTTAAATGGTAGATACTAGGACATTTATATTTTATTATATATGTATTCTTTGTGACAAGTCCTTTCATTGGATATCAACAACTTTGACCTTTTGACCTTGACCTTAAAGATTTACGTACTTATGAAAAAAACTTTAACCTTGACCATAACTTTTGAACAGTAAGGGCTAGGGCTTTCATACTTCACATTATTATCCTTGTGAGAAAAACTTTCATTGAATAAAAATAAATTTGACCTTTTGATCTTGATCTTGGAGTTGACCTACTTTTAAAAAACTTTTTTACTTTGGCCATAACTTTTTAACGGTCAGGATTAGGGTTTTCATCCTTCAAAAAAAAATCAATTTCAATGATAATTTCTACATAAATGACATATGATAGGATGTTCATATTAGACACAATATGTCATAAAAAATAACATCTCATCCACAAAGAAACCGAAAGCGGGGGACCACAATTCTTTGAATTTGCTTGTTATTTGTTGTATTTTATTTTATCATGTCATTTTAGCATTGTGAGATGTTAAGTTCGAAATACTCAATTGATATGATATGCTCATATTGAAGCCAAATTCATTTTATATGCACCCTAGTTCTTTAAAATCCCTACAGCTTGGGCCCTCTGGGCCTCGGAGGAACATAAGTACTTCATAATCTTTCGCGAAGGACATGACATTTCCGGACATCGATCTAGTTTTTCACCCCTGGATCGGTCAATTGTGTGCTTCTGAATGGCTGTGCAAAAAGCCAACTCTCAATTTGTATAGTAAGAATTGAAACTTAAGGAAGTTTAACAATGTTACAGAGTTATTTTTCAAGAATGCCACAGAAAATACCTCAAAGATTATACGAAGATTTGGAGAAGATCTTAGAAAAGGAATTACCTTTCTCAGTCCAAGTAAGTCTTGTCCAAGTAAATAATCAAAAAGCTATTTTTAGAATGCTCTGCTGTAAGTGGTTGTTATTTTGTTTCCACAGATTGAATTGAAGACTGCCACTATTCGTTTGTACATGTATAACTACAATTAAAATATTTACATAGTCATGCATTTCGTTGGATTCAAAATATAAATATTTAAGTTTCCAATGTCTGTTTCTTTTTCCTTTCATTTTAGGCTTACTATCCGGTAAAACTTCTGCGGAAGAAGTTATTAAACAACAGAATTGTTTGGGTAGACAAATGGCCGGATTTCAAAGTTGTGGTAGTTTCAGACGACCGGGTCAGTCAAATTATTTTTGCATTTTAATTTATCTTTTATAAACTGGGTTTGATATATCCCGGAAAACCGTAATAGAAAATTTAAAAGATTTTATTACAAAAATATTCTGCATTCTGATGAAACCACTTGTGTGTACATTCATAACTAAAATATGACATTTTCTGTTCCCCTCAGCTTCTCTACCTATGTTTTTTTTAATTTATCTATCCATTCTACCATTTATATGGGATTTCATTAGAGAATTAAAAGATTTATAAACTTTTAACGTGTTTTAATTTCTAGCACAAGGATGTCTCACCACAGCGAATTCATTGTTTCTGCAAAGACACGCATGAATCTTCCTCTCTGGATTCAGTACTACGTCTTATATCGGACGAATTATCAAACTCTCTTCTCATGTTTGGTAAGATTTTATAAATTATTACAAATACTTTATGTAATATGCACTGTGTTTTTTTTTTATTATTTCATTAATATATTTTTAAAAACTTTATTTCTTGTCATTGATTTCAATGGAAATCAATTTCAACAGACTTTAGCATAATTTTGTACAATGTAAGGCGAATTTTCAACGTTTGACTTCGTGACTTTATCAAAGTGTGCAGTGAGCACTATATCACAATTATATTTACAGGTTGCCGTTCGAGTGTCGTAGATGATTTAATAAAATCCCGGGGTTCTTCCGTCCGGCGTGTGAGTCCTGATGCCTACATGCTAACTCTTCCTGAGGAAAACATTATTTCTCTGTAAGAATATGTATAAGGCCTTATATGTATAAGGGTCAAGGAGAACCAGTCTTATAAACCTATGTTTCAGTTTCCATGGATAGGAGTAAATTTATACAAAATTTAAAATGTATTAATTAACGAGTGTTCACTCCTATTCAGTGAATTCAAATTTGATGTCTGATAAAATCATCTGTGGTCGACCATAGCAGATCATAAAAGATAACGGATGTAATTTTAAATTAAAAAACGGACAGAAAATGATAAATAATGTAGTTTTAGAATTTTTGAGTGCGTGTTATATAAAATTTGCAACATGAAAACAGTTACCATGTAAATTTTATATTTACCTCCACCCAGAAAATAACTAGACCTTCATTTGTAAGTGCTATCACAATGAGGATGGAAAACGTTCTTAGGATTATTAGTCTAAGCATTTGGAATGAAATTCATTCTCTATCACTTTGTCCTCATCCATATAGATGAATTTTTATTGTTGCCAAGAGGTCAAAACGTTCAACTATTCAAGTTTTATGGAAAAGATGTTTTAGCAGTTTTTGTTTCGTTGGTGGTTTGGACATTAATATATTACTTATTTTACTCTATTGTACTGTTTCAGACCAATTCCAGATGATTTCAAAATAACAAATTTGAAAGAGCATCATTTAGATACAGTAGTCCAAGAATGGCCATATTCTGGCGTGTTTAGTGATTCTAAGGAGTGGATCAAAGAAATGATAGCAGTGTTACCAAGCGTCTGTATAGAGAACAAGGAGGGACAACCCATCGCTTGGGTGTTACAACAAGACTATGGCTGTATTGGAATGCTGCAAGTAAAGTCTGAGTACAAAAGAGCAAAACTTGGAAGCGCCGTTACAATGTTACTTGCACAAAAGTTGCGGGAAGAAGGGTCCCATATATACTCCGCCATTAATGTCGAAAATAGCCAATCGCTTGCCTTCCATGAAAAGAATGGGTTTCATTATCTGTCGGATTTTCTTATAGCTTTTGTGAATTATGGATATAACCAAACTTAACGAACAATATACATGTATCTGCATTAATACCAGACCTTGTCATGGCAACATATCTTGACTTAGTCAAACCTAATGGACAATATATCTGTACTTAATAGGACCTAACGGACAACATATCTTGATTTAGCCAGACCTAATGGACAATAAATCTGGATTTAATCAAACTTAAAAAACAAAAGATCATAATTCACTAGAACTTTACGGACAACATATTTGTCTTTAACTAAAACATATTTTTCATTCATTTTCCAACAGATAGTGATCGATAAGTTCCGTAATGAGAATAGAAAAATACGCTGTTCTCAAAAAAGATTGTTACTTTATCAGTTGCAAATGAAATGAATTACTTTTTTAAAAGAATGAGTGAAGGATCATGGGTAATGTATGGTGTTGGAGCCGCCATTGATTCCTGTTAGTGGAGTTGTAAAACTGTTTATGCTAAACCCAATGAAATTGTGTCTTTGCTAAGTAACCGGCAAATTTTATTCTTTGAAGTATGTGGGGAAAACATTTTGATTGTATCTTATAGGAAAATATATATATTTTTAAAAAATTTTAGAAGTTGTTAAAAATTAAATTTGAGGAAAGGTTTTGTATTAACTTGATAATGTTTGATATTGATTTATTACAAACACACTTCTTAGGCAAAAAATTGTCGAAAAATTATTCATGGATTGTACTCCTCTCTCTCTCTACATTGATAGACCCAGAAGAAGCTGAGTATACGGGTATGGTAACGAAAGCACTTCAGGTAACAATGGGCAAAGTTTAAGATTTAGATGATGAAAAGTCATTGGATAATACTTTCGCCAAAGTCTATTTCTTAAAAAGAATTATCGCTCTTTGCTTTGCGAGTCTATTTTGTTTTTGTTTTTTTTCGTCTTGTAGAAAAAAAAATACTCGACGGTATTTATCTTCGGAGAAAATAAAATGTACTCTTCATCGAATATAGTAATATCAGTTGGCGTTTTGCACAATAAATATGCAATGCATGAGAGGAATAAAATGTAAGGTCGACCGATCAAACTTGCAAATTCGAATTGTTCTAATTTATGGTTGAAATTGTTGACCATGGTTTCCTACTCCAATAATTACAGCGATTTCAGTGGTTGTAATATTATACGGTAAAATGAAGAATTGGTTAAGACAAAAGTCTGATTTTTTAAATATCTTGAGTTTTATTTAACATCTGCTTTAAAAATGCAATTTTGAATAACATTTGAATTCTAATATTTGAAAATTTTGATTCGCTATCAGACTTATTTCAAAGATTAGATTGAAAGTTTAAACCCGTTCTGTTCTCGTTCCCTGCTCCCAAAGCCCAGTCTTTATGAGGCGTCAATTAGCTCAAATGATACCATATACCGGTCGGTGAGCAACCCCATCAGTTCCTCTCAGGTGACTTGCAAAAATTCCAATCGCCCGCGTGGCGCAGTGGTTAGAGTGTCTCCTCTAGAGTTGCGAAGTGAAGAGTTGATCCTTACGTGGCGGGTTCGAATCCATGGCGGGACGTGGAACTCCTACGGATGAGACGATATAAATTAAGGTCCCTTGACGAAGGTGGGACTTCAAGCACTGTATTGAATAATTTATATTGAACAGAGACATTTATGTACCTCTACTTGGGATTGAAATCTGGGCCTCTGGCTTGCCAGTCCAGTGCTCTACTAATTGAGCTAAACGGATAACCTACTAGCCCAAGCTGGTAGGATGCTATTTATCTTACACAACAAAATATACCAGCTCTAGAAAATGAGATGTCCTTATCCCTTTTGGAGTGCCGACGCCTAGCTGTTGGCCGAAGTTCTTGGGGGCAAACACTCCCACCCGCTAGCTATAGAGCTGTAGCTCGCTGGTCTGAAAAATTGGGATGGACGACCATTTCCATCCATAGAAGAAAAAAACTGAATTGCACACAAAAAGTTGCGCTCGATTCTGGATAAATTTCTCTTACCTCAAAGGCACGAAAGTTCGATTTAAAAAAATATATTGCCGTGCCGGCGAGGGCTATTAACAACAGTTATAAATAAAATTTTGTTGTGAAAATAGTAAAAGAAAATATTAGGAACATACTATTAGTAATAATTTGAATAGCACTTTATTTATACAAAATTTTATTCACATAAGTGAATGGGATTGGGCAGCAGGCAAAGCCTATTTTAGCCCTCTCCCTACAAGGTCAAGATGAACACACAATATATAGGTATGAAAATAAATAGACAAACATAGTAACAAAGAAATGAATGGCACTTTGAAAAACACGGAGAAATAAATCGAGAAAGAGTGCACTTTTTGTTCGCAAAAAAATATACACTCAATTTTTGCGATGGAGGGCACTGTAGCTCTCCAGTCTATAAATATACATTTTTTTTTTGAGAGCTACAGTTCTGCAGCTATCCACCCGCCAGAGAACATCTGTGCCACAACGTGGGCGCCAAATGTAACAGAGACATTTATTTGTCTCTGCTTAGAACTGAAACCTGGGCCTCTGCCTTGCCAGTCCAGTGCTAAAGCTATAAGGCTAATACACTAGCCCAAGGTATAGTAGGATGCCACGTACCTTGCATGTTACGGATATTTTTTTCTTATAAACAATAGCATATATATGCTGCAAAACACAAATCACATCCAATCTCTAAACAAAAGATTTTCATTTTAGTACGTTTACCTACTGCGCATGGTTTCTAAACACAGATCACATCCAATCTCTCAACAATAGATTTTCATTTTAATACGTATACCTTCTAGCTTTCTGGTAGACTGTTTCATGCAACATCACAACATAAAAAATATTAAAACTTAAATTAACCTATTCTTGAAACCACAGGTACTTGTGGACAGGACCCCCCACCCACCGATTCAACCCGGGGCTTACTGGACATTTTTTTCACAAATTATATTTATTACACTTATTCGTCATGTTTATCAATAGGAAAAAATCGTTAAAAAACCAAAATCAATCGCTCCAATAAAAATACACCACTGTACATTGTACGATTTTTTCCTGTTGGTAAACATGATTAATAAGTGTAATAAACATAATTTATGTAAAAAATGTCCACTAAAATCTGGGGTTGATTCAAGAGTGGGGAGTCCTGTCCACAAGAATCTGTGCTTGAAACAATGTACATGTAATTTGAAAATAACGAACTTTAATCAAACTCAAAGTCCTTTTATTTAGAATAAATCAGATTAAATACAAAGCAACACTGACTTCTAAAATCAGAGATGGGTTCAGATATCGTAAAGGAGTAAGTATCCCTTTTCGATTGGCCACACCCACCGCGTGCTCATTGTCATGATCGGGCAAAAGAAAAAATACGTAGACAGTTCTGTTGAAAGTGATGGCCTAACAATTGGTATGAAAAACGTTAATGAACATTCGACCTAATCATATATTACATTTGCTGACTAGGTCATTGTATCGACCAAAGAATTTGCGAAATGTTGACTTTAAAAATACTGTTGATATCCTTATTTTATCAAGTTACCGGTAGTTGTCAATAGTTTGCATCGGTTTAGGAATTGTTCGTATGCAGATCTTTCTCTCGCGTATTGAATCATTTGGTAGATATAAATCACTAGTGCAGGAATTCATTGTATATCGCTACATAAATTAAGTGAATTTGTATTTTTATTGCCTTTTATCTATAGAATAAGAGAATTTTATACATCTGCTTTACTTTTAACATAAGTTCTTTTTAATATCATTTTCAAAAAAAAGTCTTCGCTCTCGCTTCATTCCTGTGAATTACAGTTTTGATCAATTCTTTTGGAACTGGGTGCTTTAAAATATTTTCGTTGCTATTGTATCCATTCTTCTCTGAGAATTTCTATCACAAAGCACTCCATATATCTTCGGAATGATATTGCTTCCCGACTTTTATGCATACACAAAAAAGTTTCATTTCTAATCGGAAGTGACGCATCTCACATTTCCGGCTAACAACTATGTGGCGTAATCATATATATGTTGTTTTAATTGTCACTGACGTAATTAGGGGCGGCACCAACACAGCGAAGGAGATGCAAAAGACAACTAACACGAACTAACCATATGGCATTCGTTCGACACCTGCGGAGTTTATGTTTTTTCAAACTGCAATGATGTAACGGATGCAGCCTTTTTAATTAGCCCGGCGAGCCGTAGATGTAAATTGCATGCCCATATGGTAAACCTCACTAGGATGAAATGATAGACAGTTTTTATACAATACCTTGCATGCCTTCAGTATACATCTTATCATTTCGCAATTCATCTAGCGTTAGCTTCATTATTTAATTTTCAAGCAATCTGAAACAGGATATCAGAATATGATTCTGGAATACAATTTGGTTATGTCTTCATTCTAGTTGTCTGTTCTGCATTGTGAAGGGGATCAACCAATATCCTATATAAACTCTCTAAATTCAAATGAAAATTTACCTTTTAAATTGTGTTGAAGGTCTTTGAATTACAAATATGCTTCTGCAAAATAAATAAAACAAACTGAAGCCTCGTATATATAACCTTTTTCTTAATTTCACGACGTCCTAATTTTATTTATGTCGTATTTCTTTCTTCGAGTCAGTCATAATTAAGATAACTATCACTATGAGTTGATGGTTTATCATGAATGTGTTAACGTTGCTGAATTATGTGGTAAAAAGTTAGATATCTATAATTTATTGAAATATAGTTATCTCCAGATATTTTTTAACATTACTGGCGCCATGCAAGAGAAACCAGTCATACCTCCTCCCTTAATGTCATCTTTTTAGAAACGTAATATGCTGTAAAAGACGAGCGCTAAAGATTATTGTAAGAGACAGAATATAAGGTGGTATTAAAATAGGGTTAATTAAGAGTCACTTTGGCGATGTTTATTTGAAAAGAATGGAATTCTATCGTATCACAGGGAGTTTTCCAGTCATTAGTCACACCAAAAGTGCAGTTGACAACTGTCAATCACTGCCACTAGTCTTAGTCTGTCAAACGTTTGCCACCTACTAAAAAGGATCAAGGATTTAATCGTCTTTTGAACAAAAAGTATATTATCAGGCTGTTCGTTCTTCATGCTGATTTTCTCGTCCAAGTATGACCGAGAACCCAATGTAAGAAAAAATTACGGATTTTAAGACACGGTTCTTCCACATCATGTGTGTGATTATTATTGGGCATTGTTGAAATTTATATTTAATTTTTCACAATTATTGAAAAAGGGAATATATATATTTCAGGCAAAAGCGATATTGTTTACAAACTGTGTATATATATTCAGTTTTTTTTTCTCTATTTTAAATTCTTAATAGTATATAATGAGGGGGTGCATTTTAGCTTTAAGGTCAAGGCTTCATGAAATGGCTAAAGTAGTCATAGATTTAACACATTTTTTTTTACATGTAATCAAATGCATCTTAATTAATTTTTAATAAAAATAAGTGGGCAATGAATAGACTGCATCGCAAATGTACATGTATCCATTATTTTCATATATTCATGTAATGGAGTATTTGTATTTCAGAACTAAGTGTACTGTTCCTGGAAGCAACAGGTCTCAGACAGTAAAAATTCCATCTTTGTCAGTTTATAACTTTGTAATCAAACTTTCTCTAATACTAAAGTATATTTTCAACAATACTTAATGCAGCAATACCAACTCAAACTGGTAGACTGTAGAATGATGCATTTAATTGTTGATACAGTAATTCTTTCCCTAGTTTTGGAAAGATCATATATAGTGAAAAAAAATATTGTATTTGTCGAGGGTAAAACAATTTTAAAAATGTATTAGACGTACGAGAAAAGAATATAAATTTTACGAAAAGAAAAATTATATGACTCACTTTTTACTTCAAAATATCTAGTATATATTTTGATTATCTTTAAAGTTATAATCACTAACTGATTTTTAAAGTAGATAAACTAGAAATACTACGTAAAGTGCAGGCGAAGAAGAAATTTGTAAAAGTACGTGAGTTTATTTCATAAATTAAATTCAGTGGAAGGAGAATCGCAGAAATTGAATTTCAGGCATTAACAAGGATATACGGTTGAATATATAGGTTAATACAAAACACGTGGAAATTATACAATCAATGTTTCTCTCCTCTTAAAACAATTATTTAATTTCTTCTATAACGTTAACAAGGGTATTTTTCAGTTGTTTTGACGTTTCAGGCATATGGAATATTGGTTTCCTCTAAGCGTCTGAGCGACTCTGAAAATCTAATATGGCTCATTATCTTGCATTGACTTAGTAACCTCGTTCTAATTTCTTGTACAGACATCATAATAAACATCTCATAGTCTCCAAGCCATGTAATTCCTGGAAAATATTAGCATTCAGAAGGGCCCAGGGTTGTAATAATGGTAAATACTTGGAACATTAAAAGTAACGGGTATATTCGTGACTCATATTTCCGGAAAATCGTCAATACTTTATAGTACTAAAGAAAAAATAAGTAAGTGTAGGATAAATTGGAGTTAGTGTAGTAATTCAACAAAAACATCAACAGTCGCGGGGTAGACTGAGATAGAATCTCAACAAACAAACAGCCAATTGTACTGAAACAACAAATGACTTTTCCCAAAGGACATCATCCGAAATTGCAGATTTGACCAAACATTTAAATCTTGTTCTCTTCTTGTCCAGTCTTTTCATTTACATGCATTCCTTGCGTTGCCATAAAATTTTGCATTCCTGATAAGCAAAAAACCCTACATCATTTATTCCCATTTGGGACGCATCTCATTAAATTCGAATGCAGACAAAAAACTCAAATATAAACGGATGGATACAAAAATCATGATTTCACTTACATTTTCTTTAAGACTGAATAAATAAAACATTCAATATATATTTGTCTCTCTATTCATTGATGTTAATAGGAGAGAAGAAATAAGAAACAAGAGACCCATGGGCCACCAAGCTCACCTGAATCACTATGACCCTGCTGTTATTCATCAGCAGACTTTTCCTGCATATATTGATCATGTATTGAGTCACCGCCCTATCCAAAATAGTAATTATCTGAACAACTTTGATTTAACATAATCCGATTATTCTTCCACATAAATATGACTAATCATTGCTTTGTTCTCGAGAAGAGGAATTTGAATAAAAATCTATATTTCGTATGTAAACAATTTTACACCGATTTGTTCGGATTCCCATGGGTACCAATTGTGCCCGTAGACCTATTTTTGTTCGATGTTCATGGTCTTTAAACTCTGGCTTGGAATTTAAAACCTGAGTTGGCCATTGCTCGGATACATGAAATAAAACTAAATATATTCATAACAACGGTTGAATTTCTTTTATTTAAAAAATTGTGAATGGATATTAATGTAATGTACAAAATGTAATTAACATAAACATATTATGCAAATTTCTAAAACATTTGTGACAAGTATTTCTTCAAACAAAATGTTTAAGTGTACCATTCCTTTATCCTGTCTTTGGAAGAAAAAGGGGACTGATTTGAATTTAATCGTAATGCATTGTTTTCTTTGAGTGTAAAACTTTTGTAGAAAAAAAGAGTGAATTTTCCTTTAAAAAAATCAATTTCACCGTAATTATGCACAAACACAGCTTTTATAGTAAATGAACTCTGAAAGACGTCTTGAATAAATAGCACTATTCTCTGCAGGGGTCTTGTTCAGAGTTGCGTTCATCGATAGAATAAACGGTGCAGCTGAAAGAACATGAATTTAAAATCACATAATCGGAAGTGCAGGAACGGTTTACTAGGAAATGAAAGCATCACTTGATTTGCCAGTGCAACTTCTTGGAAAAAAGAAGCAGTTTTGCACAAACATTGCAAGAAACGTCATACACAATGTCAAAATGCTATAAAACAAAACAAATTTATACAACTCTATCACATTGCTTTGCACTTTCATATCCATTCAATGTCAGTTAATCACATGTTCCACACTTGTATCCATCTATAAGATTCCTTAGAATCACGGTTCCGGATTGCACATCTTTAACTTTGTGTCAAAATTCAAATACCATTATCACAGACATTTCTGGGTCAAATTGGATTTATGTTCTTCTCCAAAGTCTACGAAGGGGGAGATACCACATTCCTTCCTTTTCCTCCTTTTTTACCCTTTCTTTTTCGGTTTTTCTTTTTTCCTTTTCCCTTCTTTCCTTTTCCCTTCTTGCCCTTTTTCCCTTTTCCTTTCTTTCCCTTTCTTTTCTTTCCTTTCTTCCCCTTCCCCTTCTTTCCTTTCTTTCCTTTCCCCTTTTTGCCACCTTTCCCTTTGCCTCCTTTTCCTTGATGTTCGCTCTCTCCTATGTCCAATGGTTTTGAACAAATGCCCTTCTTACGCATTAGTTTCACCGCTTTGCGAAAATCTCTTTCTTTTCGCCATTTTGCTATATACATGGCGGTAAACTCGCCCGGTGACGTATTATTTCCCATAATGATGTATTTTTCATTTAGTGTGACATTAATGCGATCACAATCACAATGAATTCCACCTTGAATATAGGGACTAAGTGATTTTTTATCTTTCTTAGAGAGGCCATTCTTTTTGAAGAATTTCTTTCTCCTTTCCAGCACCAATATTTTCTTTTCATTTTGATGCTTGATTTGTTTTACTTTAGCTCTGACAACTGTAAAGGAATCAAACTCAATTTATTGTCGAAATTGATATGCAGAAAATACAATAATCCCGTAAGAGTTATCAAGACTTTCTATTTCATGTAGTAATATTATGCCAGCTATATGCTAATCTAAACCCCTGCAACTTTTAATTCCAATATGCCCTCTACACCAAAAGGTCTCAGTTGCATTTACCTTTTTTAAAAAGTGATGAAATTCCTGAAGAATGATATGTAGATTTTTCTGTTAAAAAAATGAATAACAAATGGCTCTATTTACATTGTAGTACTTACCATACGTTGATCGACAGAATCCGTCAACAAGTCCCTCTACTGTTGCAGGTTGTCGACAAGCACTACAGAGATTGTGAGCTAAAAAAAACAAAAAAAACAGGGAAGTTAAATTGTTATCTCGCATTCGACAACAGAAATCTCAAATTCGTAAAAAGTTTCCAAATGTTACCGGAAAAGAATGGATAGCGCGAAAATTAAATATTGTTTAAAAAATTCATACAGGTACATGTTGTAATTCAAAACAGTTTATTGGTTAAAGATAAACAATGAAATTTTAAACAGTACTTTGCCTTAAAAAAATGTCAGGAATGACAAATTAAGACCCTGATGTCTTCATAGGGCCAATCAAAGGCGAAAATTATACATTTCCATGATAGTTCTGTGGTTGCAAGTGGGTCTAAGGGACAGCTAAGATTATACCTTAAATAAGTTTTGACGGAAACTTTACAGGCACCTGAAATGTGGAAATTCTTCGCTTTTTTAATTATTATAAAAATTAAAAAATAAAAACCCCAAAATATGAGATTTCCCTGTCAATAATATTCACATTCCGTTCTAAGCAGCGGATTGCATCTTTTTGTATGTTTATAAAATCTACTTCTATTTTATTATGTGGTAAATGGATAATCTTCTAAAAGTATATTCTTGGAGATTTTTATGTTTGTAATATTTTTACTTAAAGGGGTATGGCTTTTTACATTTCATGTGCATGTATCGGAAATGTCCTCCTTAAAAATGCCTGTAGAAGTTGCAAGCTAATCATGCAAACTCCATCTCTTAAATGCACTGTATATGAAAATATATATCAAGTCAAATGTATAGCCCCTTTTTGAAAAAAATAAGAATGTCTGAAATCTGAACTGCTGAATAATTGTTCATTAATAAATTAGTTTTTTAAACTACAACATGATTTAGCAATATTGCTGAAACTGATCCAAAACTAAAACCCCATTTAAGAGATGATAAATGACGTTTGTTTGGCACTTTAAGGTACATGTAATTGTACAGCGAGAGGAATCGCAGTGACAAATGAACGTCCGGTATATGTAAACCAAGACATGTTTGTTACATGTGTACAGTAATTTCTTGACACCTGACGTGTCAACTTTATCCGCTTCAATAAATGGAAAGGATTAACCTACGACGACCGAGGGCTTATTAATACATTTCAAGAGGCATATCACATCATTGTGATGAATGGAATCGACATGTCATAATTAGCAGGTATTTATAAGACTGTGTAAATTTATTGTGGATTACGTTACGTGTTAAGCGCTAAACACAAAATATGAAGGAAATCGGATATTTACAGGAGTAGACTGAAACGAGACAAGCAATTCACGGAGCGTTTCAGCTGCAAATTTTGACACTTCAGACTTTGATAAAAACGTTCTTCTCACAGTGTATATATTACAGTTTTGAAAGATATAGTAAATGATAGTCATTAATTTCACATAACGATGTCATCCGTCAAGAAATGTATATGACCTTCTTATAACTGACTCGTCATTGCTGCTTACCCTATTATGGAAGTGAAACTGTAACTGTCAAAACTTTTTGAATGGTTAATTTTAATTTATGGCTTTAAAAAGATAACTAACCTTAACCTAGAACAGTTTTAAGTTCGTTAACCTAAATATAGGCCGAAAAAATCATTTGATTTTTCACTTAAGAAAGACATGAACCGGTATCCGTTGGTTTATTAATAATCTGTGTCATCAGAAACAATCAGGATTAATCATTTCATAGCCCGTGTTAAGTTGATTGACGTCCGTGTCTCTTATGTTAACACCCGAAGCGGTCTGTACCAAGTTATGTCAAGCTGCGACGGGAGCAATGTATGATAACCGAAAAATCATCATTTCTTGCAGCCCATTTTATTTCAGAAGACAAAATTCGGGCAAACGATAAAGGGATGTTTTTTAATGATATTGAATTCAAATTGTGTTCAACAGTAGGACCTGGAAAAGTTTTTTTTCCCCAAAATAGTTGATTTTAAAAGAAAATTGCATCTGAATTATATCTCAAAATGCTTCAATTGAATTCAGCATGAAATGTTTGCAATTGTTTATATTATATCAGCTATTTTTCATTCAATCAAATTATGATCCTTTTCTGTTTTGGATTGCGATATTTATTTTGGTGTGACAATATTCCACTACAACTTCTAAAATTAATGAATATATCTCAAAATTCTCCATATAATTCTTCAAATATTTATTAAAAGATGCCAAGAACATCGTTGTTAATGTAAATCACATTTGGAGGGATATTTTCCGTCGTATTTTAAAAGAAGAGGTCAATAACCCCAACTTTTCCTTAACTTGATTAAAATTTTCCAAATTTCTGGATCCTGCAGTCAAGTATGCGAAGTCTAATTTGATATATTTAATGGGAAAACCCTCTGTTGAAATTGTGTAAAGTGTAAATCACTTTCGTTTTTGTTCACAATTTTAAGAATTCTAAAATTGAAGAAATGGAAGTTAATGAGTACTAACGAAGAGTAATAGATCAATGTCTTCAAGGCAGTTGCATAATTTGCTGCAATTTCAAGAGTTTTAAAGATTGTGTAAGAAGGAGATCTTCACAGAGTGGAGTTGAAAGAGAAGTGACGTGTGTTACATAATAATAATTAGAAACTAAATTGATAATTATAACTTCATTCACTGGGTTGAAATTGTTAATTAAACAAGAAGAACATTTGAGGAACCTTTGAATTCTTTATGAGTAGCTTGTAAAAAGTTAAAAGGAAATATGTCGCGTTGTGGGATTTTATCATGGCGATAGATAAAAGAAACCATAAAATGATTTTCAAAACATTTAATGTGGCCTATTGATGATCTCTTCCATTCTGAGCGTCGAGTTTATGAAATATACTTCTTGAATAAATTTTGTGCGAGGACCATGAAATTACCTACATATCTATCGTCTGCTTATATTAATCTTTCCAGATAAGCAGGTATTAAGGTTAAAGAAGGGAAATATTGATGAGGTTTAAAGATGAGCTGTAAGAATAAACACGCATACCTGCTTAGCATGAAGAGTTTTTTCTACAGTAAGATGAATATGTATAAAGTATTAAACTGCCAAGGCACAATGACTGTTGAAGATGTTGGAAAATGCTTACTAGATTAAAAATTTCGCAAGGTAGTCTCTGTATTCGATATAAATTGTAAGGTGTCGTGTGAACCGAAATGACCTCTTTTAAGGACAGAGTACCGCGGCTTACACGTCAAGATATTTGCTCGTCATTAGTAAAACAAATTCCTTGTGTCACACTGGTCACCCTGGTGACCGATTTAGTGCCAGATGGACTCACCTCCTCCAAAATGACAATCCGTCAGTATGGGGACAATAAAGGTTACACAAACAAGCTGTATTTCACTTACCTGACGCAAAAAACTCAGATTAAAAAGACCTTTTGCAGAATGCAAAACACACTTGTATGGTAGTTTTGGGGTCAAAAATATCTTCATAATTCATAAAATTGAAATTTAATTCTACACCCATAGAATTTAATTTTTGTACTCTAAGAAGGATCAACATCTTCATGAAACTATACTCACCTGTTGACACATTATGTAATGGTTGTATACAGAGATCCGAATCTTCCGGAAATTGGTCACATTTGACCATATCTGGCCAGCTATAATTGTAAAATAGCATGGTTTGTTCACAGCCATTTTTAACGGCATTACACAAACTCCGACACGGGTAAATTTTTCTGTCCAGACAAACTGGAGAAAACAAAGAACACAAGAACAATTTGGTGTCGGGATGGCATTCCACTCCCAAAAGAGATATCCAAGATTTGGATTGTTGGATAGCTTCATTGATGGTGTCATGATCCAAAAGATTCGGTAGTCTCATTTGATGGTATCCGAGATTTTGGCATAAGGTTAAATTGGACGGAATGTCGATGCATTTTGGCTGGTTAATCCGTCCACTTATCATGGCCCAGTCCGGATCTATATCCTGTAGATATCCATCATTGGAACCGTAGGAATAACACTCCGGAAAACGTAAAAGAGCACAGAACAACAGCACGAACCACATGGTGGAAGTTTTCAATATTTATCCAATACGTTTAAATCACTTAGGATGTCGTTTCAATCGCATACTGCAACTACAAAAACATTTAAAAATTCTTTACACCTATCCTCCTTCAGGAATATCAGATAAATCACATTGTCTCCAAATGAATCCGACTTCCCTTTTCCTTCATGCACTTCGTCTTCGACCACAGACGAATCTGTTTTAACCAATTGGTTTTTTAAGCCTCAGCGATGCGTGTTAGACCCTTCCTCTCACATCGGGGTCTAAGAAGCGATGTGGTTATGTTAAATATTTTTAAACAACTTCTAATCAGCCCCGATGCGACGTCACCTTGCCTGAATATAACGCTAAATAGGGAATATCAGACGATGACACGCCACTGATTTTACCTTTCACACCAAAGCAAGTTCACTCGGCAAAGAGAATTTCTTGGGGGAAAAAAATTTCCTGTTGAAATTTCTTGTCGATTTATTTAGTTGCATGAGCTCTTCTTTCAGTGATTCGTCATTACATAATCAGCGAATTACAAAGCCCTCCTCTTTCTTGGCGCAGGATCCATAGTCTTATCGGCAGGTTGTTTCTTTCATTTCAACAACCTATAAATCCTATGTTAGAAATAAGATCATATTTACTCAGCAATTAGAGTAGAATTTAATTTGGATAAAACAACTTGAAAGATTTGAAAACTGAATATATTATTCTCTATTTTATCTGGGTTTTCTGTCATTTAAATGTTTGGCTGAAATCTTTGAACGTATTTGAAAAGAACGTTAAGTATAGGGAGAGAGAAAAATTGTTGCACTTTGCGCACGATTACGCATGCCGAATAGTTGTCATACCTATACATTGAGGATCAAAGAGAATCGGGAGTCGACAACGCTTGAGCTTTTTTTTTCTTTTAGCATTTTATTTATCATCATCTTTCCGTCTGCGATTCATCCTCACAAATGAAAAATTCGTGTTGATAAATTTTAATGAGGCAAATATCACAACTCGCTCGCGAGATTTCGCAAATAATTTTGTTTTGCTAATGTAATCAGGGGAAAAAAGCTCATTGATAAAAGTGTAAAAACGAAGTGAGTGATAAGACATTTATCTTCATCTGCATGTACATTCAAATTATGCACTAAAAGACGCGCTAAGTTGAAGTAAGAACGAATGCTAAGATTCAATTTGTATAAAAAGGAAAGAAATATCGAAAACTGAGAGTACAACTACCATACAGAAAAAAATATTGATTTATTTGTAATTTTCATAAATTCATCGGCATTTTTAAAGTAAAATAGATGCATGTACTATATAGATAGTACTTCCCTTATTAACATAATAAGATATCCGCCTCGTATGGCACATTAATTCAGACTTCTATTCTCATTAATTTTTTTTTTTGCTACACCATTTAATATTGTATACATTCCGTACATTCAATAGTACATTTTCCCACATTCCTGTGTGTATGCCCTTTTCCTGAATATCAGAAATTTTATTTCACAAGAGATCAGAGATTTTCTATTAATTTCCTTAATTTCATTTCAATGAATCTTTCTTCTTTTTTTCATCTGCATGCTTGTTTATCTGCCAGTTTCAAACCAAGAGAGTTTAAAAAATTGATTTTTGTTGTAATGTTTTAAATTGAATTTAATAAAGTTTTTGATGGTAAAATACCACTGGTTTAATTAAAGTGGAGAAATTAAAAAGCCGACTCTGAGAATTTAAATGTCAGTACAGCTGTATATAACTGAAATAGTACGATAAACATAAAAGACTAGTGAAGATTAAAAATTATTAAAACACAAGATAAGAAGGTTGTTTTTTAAATATCAGAATAAAAGTGTTAAGATAAAAATTGGTATAAATGTTAGAATTAAATGCATCCTCAAAAGTATATACATGTCTAATTTCGCATATAAACCTTATCTTTAAAACATGAATTTTTGGCAAATACATTTGATATTTTCATGACTAAATGCACTAACATACGTAATTGTATGCATGTCCATTTCAGCATCCAAAGGTCGCTTAATTATTAAAACATTGTTGTAAATAAGTTATTTTCTTTATGGTATCATTTTTTTTACGCATACATATAGATTTTCGAAAGCTTTCCTCAGACGAAAATCATAATTGGAAAATTTCCCACAACGCTATGATGAGGGCGATTTGGTCTTAGTTCAGAATCAACTGTCCAACTCCAACCATCTTAAATTACCGACATAAAAAAAAACCTTAAAAGTGTTAAATCGTAGAGTGGTCTTTACACCTTCACAATCCTAATTTATTTATTTGTCATCATTACAAATTATCCTGCCATCTGACACTCGAGGACTTAATCCCCCCATCCAGTTTTGGAGGATCGTCTTTCTACGTTAACACAGGTAAAAAGAATGTCATTACGAGCCTTTAAAACATTCAGGTAAAGGTATTAACGAGTGCAGACACCTGTTAAAAGGTATACACAACAATGCAGTGGGAAAATTATCATCATAATCATCAGCAATTTTATGAAATATTACAAAATTCCATATAGGGTTAAAATGTCATTACTCATTTACTGAAAAGTAGGAACCTTAAGCTTCAAGGTTTTGGGGAAAATAACCAAAGACAATTTTTTCTAATTTTTCAAAATCCAAAAATACCTGTATATAAAAGGGTAAGACATCGGTATTTATTCGCTATGAAAACTGTCTAAAGATTTTATTTTCAAAAGACCAAAAAATCCTTAATAGGGTAAACATCTCCAGCACTTGTATATTTTTACTACAAATAAAATCTTTCATAAATTGATAATGATCTTCACATTTTTTCCTAAACAAGAAGCATGCATAAAGCACAGGTAATTGAGCATATTAATTATACTTACTACAGGACCAATATTCAGACACAACTCCACATGAAGGAAAGATATATACGAGAAACAAGCAAAAGGAGAAGAATATTTTTTTCCCAACAAAGTTAACAAACCTTAACTTAACAGCGCTTGGAAATCACTAATCTGGTTACGACTGAAAACTATCTGCTTGAATAAACGAGAATCAATCCATCCAAAAATTTAACCTAAACCTTCATTTGAAATTCAATTTTCAATAAATCAAATTTAATTGCTTCCCATGGCCATATATGGAGCTGGATAAGTAACTTGCATGTTGGGTAACAGGTCGTTTCAATGAATATGGATCAGCCGGGCCAAAACAGGAATCACACATTATATCACATCTAAAAGACGTTTGTTTGCTCTCGTCTAGACTTCATTCAAATTGGTTATTTAAAAAAACGTACTTAGTATATGTGTATTACTATTGTATAATCAATAACAATTAATTTTTATGAGTAGTTTAAAGAATGAAGAATGTAAGACTTTTCCAAATGTGTTACGGATTCAATTTACTATTTATTTCCATAGAAAAGATATCTATAAGTATTGTGGATCTTTATTGAAGAGCTAGCCATTTATACGTTATCTTGCTAAGAGTTTGTATCCACGTTCTGTTCATGGATGACTTTAAATGGACTTGGACTCTATATATCTGACACACATTTTATTTATTCACGATAAGGAAAGAAAAACCTTGATTTCCTAATGAAATACTAGACCTGTATTTCTAAAGTACTCGAAGTAAGTTGAAGGAAATAGAAAATGACAGCAATGAAAAAAAAACTGCTCTGTACGTAGTTTATTTTCAGCAGAGATAGCTTTTTTCCCCTGTAGATTTAAAGCAGAATCTCTTAATTTGAAAGGATTTCGTCATCACTTTTTAAAAAGATATTCTTTTCTTTATTTTTTAAAATTATTTAATCTCATATTGTTAGATACTCTATGACGAAAATTGGAACTTCCTTATATTCTTGTATCACAGAAAATAACACAACCTATGCACATTAAATTTTAAAAATAAATCTGCAATTAGTTTCCAAAAACTTTAAAGTCTTTACTTGAGATTTCCTTATTTATTATTTAACTATTCACATTCCAAAATGTTTGTGCATATGAAATAGATGAGGCAAAGCATTCAAATTACGTAGTGGTCAATCCAGTTGCTAAGTGCTTTATACCAAGCCAAGCTTACAAGTTAAAATTACTTCTGCATACACAGGAACCTTTTTAAAGTTTGGACACTGTATTTCTGTTAAAAATCAAAGAATGTTTAAATAAAACCCCTTTTCGTCCAGAGATCGCATTTTAAATTTTTTCTTTTCTTTTTATAATTTTTTTTAGAATTAACTTTGTGTGGTCCTTTGGTAAATGAGATCTTGATAACTTCAATTCTGACTAATTACTCCCCCAAGGACGTTTTGCAGCATATGTGCAACAAAAAGTATGAGGGTTTTTTTTTTTTTTGCAGGCATGCTGTTTGTAAAACTAAATTAATAAAAACTGAATCCGTGACTTCTTTGAGAAGATATTTTCCAGTTTCTTGAAACATCACAATTTATGGATACTGTTAATGTAAATTAATGTCTTTAAGAATGCTATGGTGCAATTGCAATCTTGTTAACCATTTTAAAATGTTAGCCTTTTTGAACGTTCATCACAGCACTTATAAACAAGAATAAAATAAAGAAACTGTTGATATATACCAAGATAGTTGACAAAGACACATTTTAGACGAAGACGATAAAAGACTTAAAAGGTTTTGTAAAAAAGATCTTGCAATGTGAATAAAAAGTGTCGAATTTTACCACAAAGAGGACAAAACGGAAATAAAGAGAGAGAGAAATAAAATATCAGTTTACAATTCTAATTTCCTCTGCCTTTTTTTTTTATTTCATTCTTCACTTCATTTGCAAAAACGATCTATAATTGGTTTTTAGGTTTATTGGCAAAAATGGACATTAGTCCTATGAAATGAGGAGAAAATGTTATTAAATCATTTTTTAGTATTGAGAGTTGAGCAGATACTTCTGGGGTATCTTATAGCATCCAACATGCACTAATCAAAAGAGTGTTTTTCTCATTGAATTGAAATGTTATTAATACAAGAAAAAGGTAACCTGTTTGATAACTAGCTTGTTGTTTAAAGTTCCTCTCGAGAATTTTTCACTCTTATGGAAAACCACCACTTACCGGTGGAGGGCTGCAAATTTATACAGATCAATAATCGGAACTCAAGGCCACTGAGCAGCGATAGATCTTTTTTTGTACCAACAACTATACGGTGACATGGGACCTTGGTTCATACAATGCTGCAGTGGATTCGAACCCGTAACGTATGGATCAGCTTCCTTATGCCGCGACTCTAGAACAAACACTATACTGCGTCACGCGGACAATACCTGTTTATAGTATAACTGAATGCTGCAGTTTGGATTCAAAGAGCAATTGCCCGTAACGCCATTTTAAAGTTACGTGTAAAAATATAGCTTCTCTCAACCGCTTTTGAGATAATACAAACGCTAAATAAAGCAACAAAAATAAAACGAAGTTTTATCTATAAAATAAACATTAGTACTAATGACTTTGAAAACTTCATAAGTCAAAGAACATAGTTCATTAGCGTAAGGATTTTTGATAATCAGTGTTACCGAAGTACTCTACAATACCTGTTTGTTTACATCAGCTGCGGTATAACTGACAAAAGACCGTGGTATTAGGATTGTAAAACGCACT